GCAGGAGTAGATTGACAATCATTCTGAGGATCTCATAAAACAACTTTGGACAACAAACACAAAGCACCCTACCAGCAAACCAAAGAAAGCAAACGAGCACCATGGGCCCAGCCACTCCCACTACCCCCACCTCCACCTCCATCATCACCACCACATCTACCACCACCACTACCACTACACCATTGAAGGTAGTCGATAAGAGCAAGAAGGTAGAAGAGACCCTCCAAACTACCACCACCACTACCAAGACTACAACTACAACTCCCGTCAAGGAGGAGATCAAGAAAAATATTATCGTCAACAAAGTTTGGAATGATTGCGACTCCATCCGTGGGCAATTGTTTCGTGACTTGTGTTTCGGTCGTTATGGGTCCGATACCGCAGCTACCGAAATCCATCGCGATGCTGAGCGCGATTATTCCCAGTACAACCTTCAGACCATTCAAAGGAAAGTGAGAGAGCTTCGAATTTTTGTCAAAGCTTATCATCGCGGTGTCTGGTTGGACGAGATGGTGGGTTTCAAGGAACTTTGTCGACTTGATCAGCTTCCCACCGACGAAGAGAAAAAGGGACGTGAGGAGGAATACAACCGTTTTGAAAAGCTACACCCCATTCGCAAGGTACCATCCAAGAGAAACAACGTGTCCACCAACGATCTAGACGAGTTGTTTGGTGAATTCATCGCCCTTTCCGTGAAGTCTGGAGCCGTGAAGGTCTAGATCACATCATGAAGACCTCTGAAGCCCCTTCCTTTGTCTACATTACAATTGTGGAGACCGTCAGCGAAGAGCAATCCCAAAGTTATTGATTGTAAATCTTGTGGAATAGAATTGAATAAAAATACCTAGTCGTAAAACATATTGCCTCTAAGAAACCATAGAAAGTTTGCCTTGCATTTCCCATTATATATCATCGTGAACACGGTGCTGGTACTTGTTGAGTGATGCAGTGTATGTTTCCACCGCCCAACAGTATTTCCCGACTTCCAACACCGACAACCTTTCGATTCGGAAACAGCGCCTGGATGGTGTCGCAGGCGATTGAATCGGATGGGACCCCGAACTGAGGAAGGATTATTGCCTTGTTGGCAATGTAGAAATTAACATATGACGCTGCCATCTTTTCACCCTCGACCCTCCCAACAGCTTCCGCACTCTCGTTGCTTAGACTAATTGCTTCTTCTTTTGTGTAATACTAAGGTGGAAAGAATAGACGAAGATGAGAATGTGGATCGATTTAACGGACAGAACGTTCCGTCTTACCAGTGGTGGCGGAAGACCGAGTTTGTGCACGACTAGTTTTCGATATTTGGCATCTGTGGTTGATGACAAAACGGTCTCTGCAACTCGACATCGTTTGTAGTTTTCTGCGTCATTGACATTGTCATCTGTCCATGCCAAGAGGACATGGCCAGGTTTGACAAAGCAACAAAAGTTATCAACATGCCCATTGGTGTCTTCGTCGGCATCCAAACCATGCGGCAACCAAATCACTTTTGACACTCCTAAACAACCTTTGAGAGTGGTCTCGATTGTAACTTTCGGTAGCTGAGGATTTCGATTCGGATTCAACAGGCACTCCTCAGTTGCGAGTAAAGTGCCTTCCCCGTCGGTATGGATCGATCCACCTGGTAGCATTGAAGAATTAGTTGGATGATTGTAACATTTTGCACCAGACAAAGCGATTCAAACTCACCCTCCAGTACAATTGAAATAGCATGACACTTTACATTCAAGATATCCTGGCAGACTTTCTTGGCAATTTGCTGGTCTTTGTCACACGGCCAGTAGCACCCTTCCACGGGTCCACCATACGCATTGAAATCCCAATCCAAGCCTTCAATCTGTTTTGTGTCACTATTCCACACCAGTGTTGGACATGTATCGCGGGCCCAAGTGTCGTCACTCGGGCACGTATGAATTCGGATGCCTTCTTCACCGATTTGTTCCTTGAGCTCGGAGGCTTGTTCGTCGTTGTAGCATAGTAGAAACACAGGTTCCTCTCCATCCTTGGAGATTGCCCTTGTCACGTTGATAACTTCTTCTTGTACGCGCACCAACCGAAAAGTCTTGGGATTGTGCGGGTATAGAATCAAGCAAGCATCGTGATGTGACCACTCGCCTGGCATTTTTAAGTGCTGTGGCTGTTTCATTGCGCTGATTTCTTGCATCGAAGCCATTTTTTGCAGTCGGTAGCAACACTGTTGAAGAGACGTTTCTTATATGGTGCTGACCTCGCTTCCTACAGAATTGCCCTCCTTAGCAAGTGTCTACCGTATACGTTTCAGCACCTTCTCTTCCGTTTCGTACTCGTACGGTAAAGGTCGTCAAATTTTGAAAATTGAACGCGATCCACGACTGGAACTCGTGATTCAACCTATGTGGATGAAACGTGGCTCCCAGTACTCTTCGAATCCAAAACCACAACAGAACTACCGGGGGAGCATACGAGTATCAATCTCTACAAATTCAATCTAAGACGGGGTTTAGTTCTCTCTTCGATTGCGATGACTCAAGACGTCAATCTTGGCTTGCTTCTGCTTTGTTGGATCCTGCAATACCTTCTGGTACTTATGCTTGGTAGTAGCAATTTTTTTCTTAGCGTATGTTTCAAACATCTTCTTATATCTTCTGCTCTTTTTAATATTTCGCTTCTAGCATATCATTTTCTTTCGCCATCTGATTGTTTTTGGCTTCTTTGTTGGCCAATAAACTCTTGAGCTTGGTGATTTCGGCATGGGCAGCGTCGATCTGGACTTGATTACTCTTTAATTTATCTTTGCATTCTTGTATCACCTCCTGGTATTTTTCTTTAGTTTTTGCCAGCTTTTTCTCAGTAACTGCTTCTAGCTCCTTCTTATCGATTCTGATCTTCTTATATTCAGCTTGTTCCAGCGTCTCCTTTTCATTTGCAATCCGTTCGTTTTCGGCTTCTTTCTTGGCCTATAAACTCTTGAGCTCTGCGTTTTCGATAAATGCTGCTTCGATCTTGATCTACTTCTGCTTGAGTTTGTCATCCCGCTCCTGCAGTCCCCGCATGTACTTGTCTTTGGTCGCTGCCAGCCTTGTCTTGGTGAAAGCTTCGAGCTCTTTCTTGTCGCTTCTGATCTTCTTGAATCGACCTGCCATCATATCCCTTTCGTCTTCAACTTGTCTCTTTTCTATTTCCTTTTTGTCCAATGAAGCCGTGAGCTCGGAAACTGAAGCCGTCAATTGATTGAAGTCAGAAGATTTCCTAGCCAGTGAAGTTTCCGTGTTATTTGTTATGAGGCTGGAGTTCATGGTGAAATGGAATGGGACGACAGTTGAAAGTACAGTGCTCGTTTCATTGATACTAGATAGAAAAACAAGATTTTCTGGCATCTTGCCTACATCACGATCTTCAGTTTCGCGGTGCATGAGTCATCGTCGTTTCTGTCTTCGATCTCGATTTTCTTCGGAGCGCTATGAAGACCATGCACCACTGCCTTCTTGTTCGAGGTACTGTTTGCGATTGTAGTGGCTGTAGATGCCATGGTTGTTTCAATCTTGTGCAAGTGTTCGGTTCGCGCTCACAGCATGAATCCATTGAAGGAATCCAAAGTGTATGTTGTTTGTTGCAACGGTATTTTCCAATTTGAAATCAGTTTGGTATCCTTGACTGGCGACTAGTGATTCAGACACGGATCGAGCCGTTATTTCAAATTTTTGAAAACCGTTGCAGCACCTATTAGAAGAATACCACAGTACCAAACCACAAACTGAGACGAACGTTCCGTCTATATCATGGATATCCATATCCCAAGCAAACTAAAAGACTTTGGGCTTTTGAATAATGCTTTTCATCTCTACGGGTGGTTAGATGATAACCGGGAAATCTGTCAGCGCCATGCCGCCCCCGCCAAAATCAAGATGGATTGTAGGAACGAAGAGTCCATGCTCCTTGACAATTACATGGAGAACGAGTCGTCCAGAGAAATCTCCGTGTGCAATAATAATGAAATCAGTGGTTTCATCTGGAACGACGATGAGGATTCTACATGCAGCGAACAGCTCGAGATCCAGTTGTCGGCGACACAGCCTTCCATTTATTCAACTACGAATAGTCTGATGTCAAGTGAATCCTCCTCCGATGTAAATGTATTGCTAGCCAAAGTTGCCGGGCTCCAAAATAAATTGGCGAAGAAGCAAGCTGAAAACGAAAAGCTTTCGAACGAAAAGAGTATGCTCCAAGATGAGTGCGCGAAGGTCAGAGGAGAGAAAGATGTGCTAGAAGCTTTCACCAATAGAAGGCTGTCAAATAGCCAAGACACGCACTTTGCGGCTGTGCAAGAGTACAAAATTCAGCTCAGAAAAAGGCAAGAAAAGATCAATGCCATCTTGGTCGAAAATGCTGAGCTCAAAGGCTTACTGGTTGAGCAGAAAGCCGAAAACAAACAGATTTCGAACGAAATTGACATTCTCGAAGACGAGTGCAAGAAGCTCAGAGGCGAGAAGGATGCACTAGAAGCGTACACCAAAAGTACACTGCAACAGTTTCAAGACAAGTATTTAATAGCACTGCAGGATTCCAAGGTTCAACTCAGAAACAGGCAACACAAAATCAACGCTACTTTGGCCGAGAATGCCGAGCTCAAGAGCCTATTGAACATGAAGGAAGATGAAATCAAAAAGATTACGAGCGAAAAGAGTATTCTGAAGGCGAAATATGGGAAGATGAGATGTGAGAACGAAATCCCAGAAGCCCACACCAAAGTTGGATTGCCGAAAAACCAAGACAAGCATCCGGGCGTATTACAGGAGTGCAATGTCAAAGTCAGGCAAAAGTTAGACAAGCAATACGCGCTGGATCGCCGTAATCGCATAGAGCCGTCGACTAGCTATGCTACATCTTCGATTAGGATTGGAAAATCAAGCTACTAGATTCTTTTTGGATGCTGCTGAGCTGTGTTGCAACAACTGTGCATTACAAATATATAGATCTGTGTTGTTGAAATGTCTGCTCTAACTGACCATGCTCTACAGCCAAAAAGTTGATCACTAGTCAGAGAAACTGCTCCTCAATTGGACACACCACATTATGATGTGCTTTGGAAGATATTGAAACTGTCGTGGACGAATTGAAATTAAATAATCTTTGGATTATATGGGGAACTGGCGAAATATTATGGAGAACTGGCGAATAGGACACGACTGACTACTCATCCGAGGTGCACCAAGACACCAACAGTATGATAGACAACACATGATGAGGGCTTTCACTTCCGTCAACGACAAGTGTTGGCGAGTAAGAATGTCGCCAACCTTGTCATGATCTAATCGATGGATCGTGGATAGAGTATGGTAATCCTTCGACACGGCGAAACAAAAAATCTTGAACGAGGAACAAACACTCCAAGTCAAGATTGTGGCCATCATTACTTCCACAACAACTAACAATCATCTTGTGACACCCATGAAGTTGGTTGAAGAGAAGGCAAAAAGCTGTCGGTGGAGGCATGAGGCACCAGTGCACCGACAACTGATCCGTGACATAAAATTCCGCTACGGTCCAAAGACAAAGGCTACAGAAATCCATCGCGATCCTGAACGCCAGTATTCCAATTACAGTATCCAAACCATCCGCACAAAAGTAAAAGAAGTTCGTCTATTGGTCCAGAACTTGCATTGCTATGACATGTGGCCGGATAACACTACAGCATTCTTGGAATCATGCGAGCTCGATCGCTTGCCTGATCCAACAGAGAACTTCTTGCGAAGCAGCAAAGCAACATCCTCCGACGCCGCTGCATTGGATTTAGAGGTTGCTGAGCTCACTAATCGTTTGGTTAAGAAGGATGCCGAAAACAAAGAGATCAAGAGGGCGAGGGATCAGCTGCAAGCCGAGTACAATCAGATTGTGAATGACAGACAAAGCTTGCAAGTTGCATGCAATCAGATCGCAAAAGTAAGAGACAGGCTGAATACCGAAAACAAGAAGATCAAGTTCGCAAAGGACAAGCTGCAAGCTGAATTCCATCAGACCCTAATCAAAATTCGGAATGGAATTGATCAGATCGCACAGGACCGGGACAAACTGACTACCGAAAACAAGCAGATCAAAAGCGCAATGGGTAATCTGGAAGCTGAATTCCAGCAGACCAAGAACAAAAAGCGCAACATTGAAGATGCGTTTAATCGGATCACACAAGACCGGGATAAGCTGGATACCGAAAACAAGCAGATCCAGAGTGCCATAGATAAGCTGCAAGTTGAGTTCCAACAGACCAAAGCCAAAAAGCGCAACCTTAAAGATGCATACAATCGGATCGCATACGACCGGGATAGGTTATATACAGAAAACAAGCGGATGAAGAGAGAGCAAATCGAACTAGCGCAGGAGATGAGAGGATTCGTGGAAACGACCAAGCAGTCAATGAGTCATCACAATGATACACTGTGGGAACAATGCGAGGCGATCATGAAGAACGAGCTCTCTTTTGCGCAAAGGATTATGCATGTAGACTAAAATATCATTACTCCTCATTTCGGGTATTGTTTTAGCACACAATCTAGCAATACACGTTATCCACATCATAGCAAGACGTCCCTTCAATAAACTCCACCAAAAATCCATCTCCCTCCAACTGGCCTTCTGTCCTGTTCCGCGACCACAATTTGCTCGCTTGGAGACGAAATCTAACGGATGTATCCTGCGGCCAAAGCTTTCAAGTAAAACTAGAAACACGAATCATCATTTTCATCTTCCAATCTTGTCAGCAGCCTTTGTTGACAATCAATATCATCGACCTCAGCTTTCCACAGTATAACGCAATGAGATGAGTCACATAGGGAAAGATGCAACAAAATCCCCGAACGGGAACCACGACCCGATGAAAATTATGGAAGCGATATCCATCGACGAACTGGACGATGATACAGGAATGCTTCAGATCGTTGACGAAGACGACGTTGGTTTGAACGATATTTTGCCACGGACTCAAGCCAGCGATGGGATCTCTGAATCTATGGATAATATTGATACAGAACGAGACGAAGACGACAGCAGTAATTTCGAAATTCTCGATGATGAAGATGAAGAGGACCTCGCTGCTGGATTGGAAGAGGAAGGTTTCTTAGAAAAAGTAACTGAGGAGAATGAAGTCGATGTGGAAGAGGATAATAGCAAGGACGGTAATACCAGAAGAGATGAAAAGAACGACGAAGGCGACACTGCTAAAGCTGAGAATTCCAAAGTAGCAACAACGGGTGGTTCCCCTCCAACTCAGCGAAAGTTTTTCAAAGTGCCAGTCAGCGTGATGTCACCTGTAAGGACCCACAAGAAGAACATTCAATCACCAGGAGTCTCTGCTGGCTCGGGGAAGATACGTTTCATTCCTTCGTCAGTAGAAAAGGTGATTCGTTCCAAAATGGCTTCTATTAAGGGACATGAAGATTCAGTTGACCTTAGTGAGACGATGCAAGAGCGATCGGCAGATTTCTTTTCGGACGATAGTTCATCGGATGACTCTTCATTGGATGATAGCTCGTTACTGTTGGAAGATGATGCTGATGAAATCATAGATGTTTCCAAAATGGGGGTGTTGCCCAACACATTTCTCAATCCTCCCCCTAGCTACTACGATTATATGGATCAAGATTTGCTGAAGAGCGTGGGCCAACAAAACCTGTCCAAGTTTGCTTGGGAGCACCACTTGCTGTCAAGAGGACTGATGCAGCTCATGGCAGAACGGGATCATATTGGAGTGGAAGCGAATATTGATGATACTGGTAACGTTTTGAAAATGGGACCTTTAAAACTTTTGAAAAAGACCATGAACCAGAAGAGTTGGACCGTCAAATTGGTGGAGATACGGAAAGGGAATCTTATTTATTTCGACGACAAGGCAATGACAGGAGGCAAGAAGAATGTTCGAACTACTGTCCACTTGCGCAAACGTACGTGTCGCTGTGAAGCTGTTACCAAACCAAAAGACGGTAGTAGTCCAAGTGGATTTGTTTTTGCCTTGATTGATGAAGGGGGCAAGCGGATCTGGATGGCTCAATCAGAAGAAGAAATGGAGGGTTGGATGCGGACCATCAATCAAGCTATGATTGGTGAGACGGACGAGTCCATGGATATTCCACTCAACATGGCACAATACAAACAGTCTGTGGAGAAATTTGATTCGGTTCGTAATTTCCTAGCGAATGCCGAGACTCAAAGCGATTACATGGCAGTAGCAGGAAATCTTCTCAGTCGTTATGGCTCGACTGCTGCATTGCGGGTACCAATGAGATGGATTCGAGAAGAGGTTCTGGAGGACCACAACTACAGTGGGGAAGGACAGGAGGGAGGCAAGAATAGAGATGCTCCGCGTCATCGTGTCAAGTCGACGGTTGCTGACTTTTGGAAAGTCCTCTGTGATTCATCGATTGCGATCAATGGAAATCTGGTCGAGGGAAACAGCCCGTACTCAGGCGAACGAATAATAGGAGCCTTGTCTCGATGCTTGTTGGAGTACGACAAGGTAGATCGGGACATGAGCCACGTAGGATCCCTTGGCTTTATCAAACGAGAAGATACTGAGAATTTTTTAACCGAGGCGCAGGCAGTATCACACGCTCGGAGTATCTTGACCGGAGCCCTGAAGAGCAAAAGTCGTGACGAAGCGTTGCGAACGGTAGAGGAATTGATGAAGAATGAAAATGTTGTCGAGTGCGTGGAGTTGAAACTCTCCGAGCCGATGCATATTGATGTTTCGTTTGCTAATGATGATTTCTCGGGTGATTACCAGCAGGAAAAGAATGACCTGAGTGGGTGGGCGCAATCACGGACAAAGGAGACCAAGGGTTGGAAAGAGCGGTACTTTGTTCTATCGGAAGGAGTATTGAGTGCTTATATGGATGCCAATCCGAGACCTTATGGGCTTCGGGGGCAATATGTGCTGAAAGATTTTCGTGTAGACATGATTGATGAAGAAAACATTATCAAAATACATTGCAAAGATGACCACCGCCAATTGCTATTTGACGAAAGGGCAGACTTTGTGAAATGGAAGCATGCAATTGATCCTACCTTCGACGGTAACGAGCAGACCTTGGATTCGAGCTTCATCACTTCACCAAATGAAGGCACTAATCCAGAGCTAAAGAATCCTCCAGCTACAACAGCACCTGATCCGACTCCAGATCCAAACGACGATGGCGAGCAAAAGAAGAAGTCACGAATGGGCAAGCTACAAAAAGAGGCAAAAGATACAGGAGAGCGAGCGTACAAAGTTATGAAGGGGGCGCGGGATGCAGGGATCGACAAGATTAAGAAGATAATTCCAAGGACGAGGAAGCGCCCGAACGACCGTAGACGGCGGAGGCAGCCGAGAAGAAGACCCACTGTGGACATGCTTCGAACGAGCATTCGAAGCTCTCAGGTACAAATGCCTGCTGGGAAACGAGTTCCAACCGTTCAGGTGGTGGTAGAATTACGTCGAGTCTACAATGTGATTGCCAAGGACCCGAATGGAGAAGGACAAAAACTCATGAAAGTAAAGGTGAAACTTTTCCATGCATTCCTTGTATCTGGTGGACCCAACGGGCGCTTTGCTCGAGGTGACGAGCTGATAGATATGATTTTTGTTGATGGGGATGCAGGGCCAAGCACAGATGCAGCATTCCTGGAAGTTCCGACCGCTTTGTAATGCAGCAATAAAATGTTACTTTCTTGCTAAAAAATTCCTTTGATTTCTTCCCATCACTTTGTCGCATCAGCCAACGAGATAGGAATAGGAACATTTACATGGCTACTTGTATCCTAATACTGTACATGATATTGCTATTGTGCATATGCAGGAATGCAGGAATGAAACTAGGCAATGATTGGATCAAGGAAGAAGAATGGTTTCTTCGTTGGTCCTTGGATTTCAGCTGGACTTTGAATGGCAGTATCATCTTCATCTGTCGGTGGTTCCACAGTCTCGTCCTCCATCCTGTTGGCTTCCTTCTTGTTCCTCTTCCTCCTCCTCTTCTTGTCCTTTTTGGTTTCCTCCTGGCTCTCAGTCGTCGACTCTACAGTCTCACTATCAACATTTCGTTTGGAATCCTCATTTCCAATCTTGAAGAGCCGCGGAATGTATCCATAATTCAAAAAGAAGGCCCCAATCGCTTGAAACACTTTGGCCCGAAAGGTTGCCACGGAGTCGAATCTCGATTGAATAGTTATCAGTCCTCCCCGAAGGATACCGTATTGAACTACGACCACCTTCATCATGGCAATATAAAACAATGCAGCCGCTGCCGCTCGTCCCAGTAGCAATCGTCCTTCGGGAGATACCAAAGAATTGATCCCAAATGGAACATTCAAGGCTTGTAGCAGTCGCATCGATTTGGATACCGATTCATGGTGTCTTACAATCCGAGGTCTTCGTTGCTGCTGTTGCTGTTGTTGTTGTTGTTGGGTGACCAATTCTATCTTTTCTTCCACGAATCGAGTCAAAATCCAAGTGAATTGTTCTGGCTTGGTGCGATGTGGCGCCGATCCACCTCCCAGAATCAAGCATCGATCGCTTGTATTAGACTCCACCGATTCACGAGCACTGGATCCATGTATAAGAGAAGGAGCATCGCCATCCCAAACAATGACAAAGGGACACTGCAGCGTTTGTTTCAGAAAGGAATCCAACACATCAAACCCCGAAGCCGACGATTGAGAATCCGCTTCCGTCAAATCCCCACACAAGACCAATCCAGCCACCTGATCTCCTGACAGCATCATGGCTGTTTCCATGGCCAATAACGATTCCTTGTCACATCCTACTAGAACGACCTTTTTCCACTTCATGACTTGTAAAATGTCCATGACTAAATTGGGAGCATCCTTGGATCTGTTTTTGTTGCTCTCCTTTTCGAGTCGTTCGCAGGCCATGACATTGAATCCTCTCGAGGCCAACAGCTGCCCAATATCTTTCCAGTGATCTACATTGGGACCCAATAGAATAAAATGGACCGGATTGGATGCATTTCCTCTTGCTCGCGATCGTCCATAGTATTTATAGACTACTGGAGAGTTGTCATTGGCGTTATTGTCATCACCATAATTTTGACGCAAGGTATCAAAGTTGTCCTCCATGGTGCGATGATAGTTCTTGACGTTGTTGTCATTCTCCATTATTTCCTCAGATGAGGAATCGTAATCGTCATAGGCATCCATGGTGGTGGCGGAAAAGGGATCGTAGGACGAAACTTGTCTCATTGCTCGAATGTCCCAATCGGTCATGAAATTACGACTTTGATCTTTGGTGGAACTTCTACTGATGGATCTTCTTAATGATTTCGGTGTTGCCGTGGGGCGACGACTTGGATACCTGTCTTCTTCTTGAAACTGAGCATGGAAGTTGTCAGTCGCATAGTGGTCGTTGGGAAAGGATGATCCACCACGACTGATGATGGGAAATGACGGTCGGAATTTGTCACTGTGTGCATCACAGAGTGAACTCTTTGGAATGATCACCGACAATATACAGTATTTCAGTACATATATGGGAAGTATTTGTTGCATATTGGGATCGCAGCTTACGTAGCTGAGAGCGTATTCGTATTGATGGACGTGATGTCGTGGATGCTCGGTTCAGAACTTTTGTGACACTCACTCATCACTCACTCATCACTTAAAATCTTTCGACTTCCGCATCTCAATCACGGATAAAAGACAGACTGAAAGGCCGAACACTCTTAACCGAAACTAACGTTCTGGAAGAAACTCAACGGCTCGAAATACGAATGATCAGATTCCGAGTCCCGTTCCGGATATTGGTGACTAAATTTGTACCTTTCTGAGGGTCACTCCATGTACCAGCTTCCGTAGAAGGGCACGCTACAGGAAAAAATGTTCAGCAGAAAAAAGATTCGCGGGCCTTCCTTGTGTGGCGTTGCTTTTGTGACCGATACATTGCTTCCCACCATCGCACCTCGGCACTCCCATCCACTCCGTCGTTGCAGCAACTCCCTGCAAATACAACAAAGCAAAAAGCTTTCAACAAAAAAGAAAAAATGGCAGGACGTGGCGGCCAACCTCTGGTCTATCAAATAGATTTCACTGCTGTCGCTAGCGGAAAGCGCATTGCAAGTTCCAAGCGTCGCATCCGTTGGTAAGTTGCTGCCGTGTGCAGGTTGGGTATTTGGCTTTTGGGCGAACCTGCAGTATTTGGCACGATTGGTGGGTTGTTAGGCTGGTCAATACAACATGAGCAGTGACCCTTATTGGCTATGGAAATGCCCATCCCTCGTTTGGACGGGGGAGCAGTGGTACCGGCTACATCTCGAAAAATCTGGATGATGGAATGTCGTCGTGCCGATCTTGCGATGGGACGTTCCGAGGAAACCACAATTCAACCCACCAATGCTCCGACCACTGCATTTTTCAACTATACCTTGACTCACACATTAAATTGTTGCCTCCACCCACCCACGCACCCACGCACCCATACTATTAAATTTACAGGAGATTTGGATTTGCCAATTCCCAAGCCTTGGCAGAAGGTCAAACTGGAACCAATTGCCGTGGTGAAGAACATGATGTGACAATCATTTGGAGTGTTACCTCTGGAAAGCGAGTTGTGATGATGGACGGCAAGGAGACTCACTATTCCAACAGCCGCAACAATGTTTTCGAGTACAGTTGGACCATGCGCGGAAATCACGTCCTCAAGATTCTAGCTCATGCTTCTCCTCCCATGTCGCCAACTCCTGGATTTCGTCAATATGATCTTTATGTCGACGGCCAATCCTTTTTCACCTTTCCCAAGGTCTTTCGTCTTGGACTTGCGGCCAATGATCCCCGCGCTCAGACTCGTTCTCCTCGCGGGACTCCGGTCCGGGCTGAACGAGGACAACGGTACCCCAGCGGATCCAACAGTGTTCGTAGCACGGGATCGGCCAACCTTGCCAATATCGAGGCACCCCACAATCCCGATGAAGAGGAGGCGTACCTTCGTGAGGCCATTAAGAATTCCCTAAAGGAATCGGCTGCTGGTGGTGGTCGATCGGGTGGCAGTGTGGTTTCGGCACCTCCCACCACTGGCGACAACCTGCTTCTCGACTTTTCGGCTCCAGCTCCAACCCAAGCGTATCCTGCCTTGCCAGGACCTGCTCCAGCGCCTGGTATGGAGTTCTTTGGAGCTCCTCCACAACAACAGTATGCGTAAGAATGAATCGCTATGCCAGTATCTTTTTGTTTGTGTGATTCATTTCAACTCACACTCATGTTCCTTCATTGTACAGCGCTCTTCCTCCTTCTACCAATGCTCCTCCTCAAAATGGATACGGTGCTGATCCATGGGGTGCTCCGGCGTCGGTTGGCGGCGGGTCCTATGGCACAGCTCCTCCAGCCTCTACCTATCAGCCACCCGCTCCGGCACCAGCTTATGGTGCTGCCCCTGCCGATCCGTTCGAGGCTCAGCAACAAGCTTATGGTCAATCGCAAGCTTATGGCCAACCACCAGCACAGCCTGGATACGGTGCTCCACCTCCAAACCCATACGGTGCTCCAGATGCTGGAGCTGCTGCCAATCCATTTGGGGCTCCTTCTCAACAGCCACCTGCACAACCTGCTTATGGTCAACCACCTGCACAACCTGCATATGGTCAGCCACCTGCATATGGTCAACCTGAGACTCCACGAGGGGCTGTGGTTCCGGGCGGTCAAGACTTTGCCACTCCAACTACGCAAGCTTCCACCCTTGGATTTGCGTCTCCAGTCGGCATGCCTAGTGCTGGTGGCGGAGATCCCTTTGGAGCACCACAGGCCGCTCCAGATGCCTATGGAGCACCACAACAAGCCGCCCCGGATGCCTATGGAGCACCACAACAAGCAACCCCGGATGCTTTTGCCCAACCAGCCGCTCCAGATGCCTATGCTCAACCAGCTGCTGCGGATCCATTTGCGCAACCAGCCCAACCTCCAGCACCTTCCGATCCATTTGCGGCTGCTCCAGCGGCACCACCTTCCGAGCCTGCGCCAGAACCATCCCAAAACGATCCTGCTCTCTTTAGCATGAACAGTTTGAGTGGACAGCAGCAGCCATTGGTGTCCGAAGGTATGACCTCAAATGCGGCATCTGGCAGTTTGGCGGATCAAGCATACAGCAAATTGGTGAACATGGATGCATTTGATTTGGTCAAAGGAAAGCAGGAACAACAACGAGCCAACCCATTTGACATGGGAACCACTGCTTCGTCAATGGACAATTCTGCTCCTTTGTCTCAACTGAAATCAAAAAATTCCTCCAATGGCCAAAAGAAGCCAGTCTTGACTTCCGCACCAGCAGATAATGCGCTTGTCTTGTCGGGAAGTCAACAGGGTAACTTTGGAGGTTATGGTGCCCAACTTGGTGGTGGTATGGGTATGGGACAACAAACGATGGGTGGAATGGGTCAGCAACCAATGATGGGTCAGCAGCCAATGGGTGGAATGGGTCAGCAACCAATGGGCGGAATGGGTCAGCAACCAATGGGTGGAATGGGTCAACCAGCCATGGGACAACAACCAATGGGACAGTACGGCCAGCAGCCTATGATGCAACAACAGCAATATGGACAACAGCCCATGATGCAACAACAACAGCAGCAGCAATATGGACAACAACAGCAACAGCCGCAATATCAACAGCAACAGTATGGTCAAGCGCCTCAATCGTTTGGAGGTTTTTGAGCTGACAAATGTATTGCAAATTTGATTCAACAATGGTCCGCGGTTATGGATGCCTACTATGTGTCGATTGTGCGGCATCCGTTTCCAACAAGTGGATCCCCCCCAAACAGCCTATACTGGAAAAGCAAAGCTGCGATTTTCCTCCCGCCAGGGAACTTTTAAAAATTCTAGTCTGACAAGTTTAAAAAATGCTACATTGATTCATCTTGCTTCTCGTTCTCTCAAGCCGTTGAGCAGTATCCCCGTCGCCACCGGAACGCTCAACGAGTCCACCTCTGATTCTATCTGAATACGAAGCTTGTGCGTTGCTGCCTCCCGAACTGCCAATGAGATCCCATTCCCTTCGTTCCCCATAATGCAACACCAGGACTTTGGAAGGTTCCCACGTTTAATGTCGGAAAGAAGGCAGTTTGTCTCCAATACGGCTGCATAACTAGTCACATTGAATCGCGGGCTCGACCATTTTGATATGGTTGCTGCCAGATTATTGACTCGCACTATGGGTATTCGGAAGATGTGACCCATTGATACCCGAATGGTTCGCCGATACCAGCAATCGCACGTATCCTGGGACAACACGACAACATCTACACCAAAGGCGGACGCGGTACGAATCATGGACCCCAGGTTGGCATTGTCGCAAATTCCATCAAGTGCTAGCATCCGTAATGGTTCTGATTTCTGACTCATCCTCTTGTTTTGCAAGAAGGAATCCAGCCATGCTTCGTCTCGACCCATTGGGACAATTCCGCAAGCGAGGGCTCCGCGAGCAATTGGAAAACCAGCAACCATGCTCAATACAAATTCGGAGCCAATCAATACCTTGAAACCAGGGTGATTACTATTTTGGCTATCTCGCTCACGCCGTATTCTCATTGCTTCCTCAACATCGTTGATCAATCGCACAGGTTCATCAAACAGGGAACATGGTTTGAGAAATATGCTCTTTAGTTGGATTGGACTCAATCCATAATGATTTGCATTTGTTTGCGTTGATTGTTGAATGAGGATGCGAATCGTCTCGGTGCTTTCCGCAATGAAGTAGCGTTGCCCATCATTGAATTTGGCATTTTTGCTTCCCGTTTCTTGAATGTCAACAAATGGAAGCAAACAGAGTGAAAGATCAGATTCTCTCTCGCTTTGTGATGATTTGACCTTCTTGATATCATCCTCAGACACAAATGAGGCAAAGTCGCTATGGGAATCAACCCATTGCTGCCTCACTTTTTCCCTTTCTTCCTCTTCTCTCTTGCGAGACTGCTTTGCCTCCCACTGCCATAATAGTCATTGAAAGCACAATTTTAAATCATAAGAGATAAAGAATCGAACAAACTGGAAGGTGCAAAGCTTCTGACTAACCTTTCGTCTCTTTTGTTCCCTGGTTGCATTGCCATCGGCAAGGCGCTTACCGGAATCTGCCATGGTTGGCCAGGTAGATTTGATGAGGACAGCTCATTTGCATTTTTACTTGCTTGCTTGAGATGGTTTTGTTGCGACTTTGACCCATCCGACTAGAATCGAAGATCCAAGAATGAGAAACCACCTGTGCAATATTTTGTCGTTCACAAGAACACCAACTCATCCTCAATAATCATCGAACGACTCATTAATCAAACTAAAGCAAGAAAGCAAGAAAGCAAGAAACGATCACAGCAACATGCCCAAATCATTTCCTCCTCCATGTGTTATGGGTGACGAGAGCATCATGGCTCCAAAGGCCCAGTAAGTGAACTTTTGTGGGTTTGACCATTATGAATAAATGAATCCAACAACGGTCCTCACATGCATCTGTTTTGCCAGTGGTACCTCTGCCATTCCTGTTCAAGAGAAGCTACGTTGGGGGTGCGACGTTAAGAAGGCTGACGAAATTTGTAATTTCAATCGCGTAAGGAATTCTTCTCTTGTGATTTAATTTAATGTGATGTGATGCTTTTGGTGATCTGATATTGCTCCCGTCTCGATGTCACACTGTGCAGCACTATGCCGAGCACAGTGGTTACTTTGAAAAGACCACCTTTAAGAAGGAAGCTAGAGAGGTGAGGGAAAATATGTCTTGGATTATGAGATACACAAACGAATCAAGAAGCTGACGACAATCTCCACGATTTGCAGGCCAGTGGACCGATCAAGTTCTACGATTCCAACACTGGAAAACATTTGTTTACAGCACCAGTTGGTCGTACGATGAACGAATTCCTCATTGAGAGTAAGCTATTTGGGCGCGGCTGGCAAGGCTTTTGTTTTGAAATTGGATCAGACACCTAACCTTGACTGGTTGAAATATAGGCTCTGCTCATGGTTGGCCAAGCTTCCGTGACGCTGAGGTGAACTGGGAATATGTTCGTTGTCTACCTAATGGAGAGTCCGTAAGCGTCGATGGAACACACCTTGGTAAGTATTTTTTAGTGATGGGAAATGTGCATCTCGGAATTTTGAAATCTAATGTTCGCTTCTTGCAGGACACAATCTGCCAGATGACAAAGGATCTCGGTACTGTATCAATTTGGTTTCGGTTGCAGGCACAGAAATGTAGACTTTATCCTAGACCATACGCCATATTATAAGAGTTTAAAATGCTTTAAAAATGTATCTATTGAGTCTATATTCCATAATACAGGCGTTTAGTTCAGAGGTTCTCGGTCCTTGATCAACTTGGTTTCAGTTGCAAGTCGAGAAATGTAGTCTCCATCATGGACTGCCCACCACATCACAACATCATCTGTTGAGTCCATAGTCTATCTTGGTGTACCGGTATCTTAAATTACAGCCATTTGGTTCAGGTTCATTTGTGCGATTTGTTCAGTAGAGATGGGTTCCTTCTCTTCTGGTTGATCGTCGACCTTCGCCCTTGCAACTTTCCCTGCAAACAAGACAGACTTGCTTTTTTTCAGAAGGTGTCCATGGCCCAATCGAACTTTGACTTCTTCGATTTCACCAAGTGAGGCTTGCTTGTTGGCAACACGAGTAAATTGTTTTGCACTCATGGGGTTGCGAAAAACAAATGTGTACTCAATATCTCCCAAACTTGATTTCAACACAACGGTGTCTTCATCAGATGTATCTCGATTTGCTTTCATATGCGCAAGTCTAATCGCATACTTTGGCGACGGACTCATCTCGTTCTTGAATACAAAGCAGAATGCTCCTTTGACCACAAGGAATCTTTCTTTCGACGATGTATCCGTACTTTGAAAGCACCCACACTTGTATCCAATGACGCCTCTACTAAGCTCTGTATAACCTTCAAAATCTGCACCATGACATCCTCTAAGCGCTTTAACATCAGCACCTCTTTCACCCTTCGATCGTCGGAAGCGTTGACTCAGCCTTTTGAAGAAGCTGCTTTGACGTCTACTGGAAGGTGGTTGGTTCAGTTTTGGTTTGGGGTGTTCTTCCTTTGATGGCTTGAATTGGACAGGCATCTTTTCACTCATTTCCTATCGTTGTTGCTTTGGTTTGTTGTTTCTTGTTTGGTTTTGTGAGCTTTGGGACATGATGGGATACCAAGTAGCTCAGAGAAGTGATAATAGTATCAGTAGTCGTGCCTATTTTCCAATTCGACTCGATCGATCAAAAACTTGAAGTGATCAAACAAGTTAATAGCATGACTGGAGGTTGGCTCATCTCAGTTCAGCTTAGGCCCTTTCTTACTTTCATGGGCGCCATCAAAGAAATTTGAGTCGAAAATATGTTCCAACAACTGCAAGGCAAGAGTCTCTTCTCTATCAACATCATTTGATAGCAGTTTCCGCAGAAGTGTGTCATTCGATGAGGACTTTCCTCGTTTTCGTTTCCTTGTATCCTCATGTTTCCGTTTGGGTTGATTGCTCAGATCGTGACTGAATCGACATGCATCCCCATTCAAACACTTTCCATTTTTCATAAAGTATCGACACGGTCGAGAACCCATTGAAGGTGGTATTCTTGCATTCGGAGAAGTACATGTACTGGGCTTTTTGGTCGTGGATATTTCAGTCAAGTGAGTAGTAGTTTCTTGCACAAGCGACTTTTGCATGTCATCCTTTTTCTCCTCTTCCCTCTCGTCAGGGGTTTCATCCTCTGAGTCAGATGAAGAGCCATAGCCACCTAAAAGTGATGAGAGCCCCGTAGTTTTGGAAGCTTTTGCAGTGGTGTCCTTCGTTGGAGAGGCCACATTCGTTTCGTTCGATTCCGCATTTGCTTGCCTCGGGAAGCGCTTTTTCCTATCAGCGATCCACTTTTGAATATCCTCTGGTCTATTACCCACACAAACTCGAAACCTTTGAACACGGCATCCAGGAACAGCGACCGTAACAGTTTTGAAACCCGAACCAGAAAATTTACCATGACTTGCCAGATAGTGAGCCTTTGAATGGACAGGATCAGATACCACGTTTTTGGATGTGAAGAGGTATCATAACATCATTGACTTACCTTCACAATCTTTGGTGCACCTTCGAATGAGCATTCCGTGCACTTGACGTGACTTTTTCTGTGAGCCTTGAGTGCGCGTTCCGACTCCACAGTTACGTCGCACGCATCACAAGTCCATGTCTCTATTTGTTGTTGTTGTGATTGATGCTGCTGTGTTGTGCTTGTGCTACCCAAGCAAGGCATATTTGGTGCCGCTGCATTCAGATGAGCATATTGACGGACTGCAGTAGATTGAGCAGAAGACCAAACCGAAGCGGATGTTGATGACTGATTGTAATTATAGTTGTACCCAAACGTCATCGGTGATGCTGCGAAGGCAGTCGGTACTGGAGGTCCATGAGAGTGTCGATATCCATCTTGATTTGATGGTTGAGCTGACGGGGTAGCCTTGTATGAATGGAAACCAGTTGGCGGCTTTCGTTGATCCATCTTTGTTGTGAAATTGAAAATAAGCAGCAAAAATTGTTGGTTGAATTCTGATGCGCGGCTTCCGCGCATCAAATCGGATTGTTTGTAAAGCAGACTCATAGTAATACAACATTTACACTAGCTAGTAAAAGTCCGATCACTTTCTTTCTAGACTCATATGTTCTTTCTATTCATTTATACTATCTCTATATATATTTGGAGACTCTTGCACTGTACTTCTTCTTTCTTCTACACAACGTCGTCGCACAGCAATAGCAGGATGCATAATTGACCCATGTTTGGGGCGTTTACTCCTCTTCATCCATGGCTCCGTGTTCTCGCAAAAGTCTTCTAGAGGAAGAAGAGTCAGACGAGTCAGAGGATGCCGAAGATGCCGATGATACAGATGATACCGATGATACCGATGATACCGAGGAGGCAGAAGAAACAGACTTCACCGAAGAGACGGTCTTCACCGACGGCAGCGATTGGACGGAAGGCTCAGACTTGCTAGACATCTTGGTAGAAGAGGACTTGAGAGAACTAGCAGATGCAGATTTGATCGTAGCTGTAGCAACTGGTACCGCGACAGTAACAGGCGCAAACGAAGAGCTAGCAACAGGTACAGTTGTTTGCAAGCGGCGGGTATCTCGAGGTTTCTTGGCCAAGATGGTGCGTGGTGCGGCAACAGCAAGGATGAATGCGAGGATGAGGGCGAATTTGTTCATTTTGGTACTGATGATGGCCGAATGCTTAATGAGCTTCCGGTTGATATAAGAGTTGTTTGATTCTGATTTTGTGAGATGAACGGAGATGAAGGTCAAGAGTCTTCATGATGATCTACGATCCAAGAAAGGATCAGTGCAAGATTGCTTGAGTCTTGTACTGGATTGAAAGGCGAGGAAAATCGATATCTTCCCACAGATAATGGAAGCCTCTCCAAATTTCCGACTTCCAAGGGTGAATGCTCAGAATTTTGTCGTGATTTTGGTTGTGAGTCTGTTTGTTGGCACAAAATTTGAACACATATTTTTTTTGAGTTGATCGCTGTTTCCATTGGAAGATTGACAAAGCTTTACAAATAATGCTGACATTTCCTACTTATGGTGTGGTTGCAGAAAAATTTAATCACACGAGAAGCCGCAGAATTCCCTCTATCGTTCACAAGATCGATATATCTCTTGACAATGAATCAATCTTGCTAAACATGACTAGGAAGCAATGGATTTTCCTCGCCTTTCAATCCAGTACAAGAATCAAACAATCTTGTAATGGCCGATGGATCGTGAGTCATGATGGAGACTCTTGACCTTCATCTCAGTTCATCTCACAAAGGCAAAAACAAATAACTTTGATAAAAACCAGAAAACTCAGCAAGCATTCGACCATCATCAGTACCAAAATGAACAAATTCGCCCTCATCCTCGCATTCATCCTTGCTGTTGCCGCACCACGCACCATCTTGGCCAAGAAACCTCGAGATACCCGCCGCTTGCAAACAACTGTACCTGTTGCTAGCTCTTCGTTTGCGCCTGTTACTGTCGCGGTACCAGTTGCTACAGCTACGATCAAATCTGCATCTGCTAGTTCTCTCAAGTCCTCTTCTACCAAGATGTCTAGCAAGTCTGAGCCTTCCGTCCAATCGCTGCCGTCGGTGAAGACCGTCTCTTCGGTGAAGTCTGTTTCTTCTGCCTCCTCGGTATCATCGGTATCATCGGTATCATCTGTATCATCGGCATCTTCGGCATCCTCTGACTCGTCTGACTCTTCTTCCTCTAGAAGACTTTTGCGAGAACACGGAGCCATGGATGAAGAGGAGTAAACGCCCCAAACATGGGTCAATTATGCATCCTTGCACTGCTATTGTGTGACGACGTTGTGTAGAAGAAAGAAGAAGTACAGTGCAAGAGTCTCCAAAGATACATAGAGATAGTATAAATGGATAGAAAGAACATATCAGTACAGAAAGAAAACCTTAAGATATACGAATATTTAAGTATTTCAGTGCATTAGACCACTGATGCCTGTCACGTCGTTGACGTCCAGAAGCGCGAAAGCATGGTTGCATTTGGTTCGTACCGGTACCATCAAAATCAACATGGCTTGTCCGTCTCTACTTCAAGCATTTTCCACTTGCTATGCCTCGACGAGTAGACTTAGTGATGGGTCGTTTCTTTCCATCGATACTATGCCTCCTAGTTCATGTATCTTCTCCACATTGAATTTGACTTTGTGCTTTGGTGAAAAGGATTACTCGGAAGAAGTGCAGTTGTGAAGCTCCGCATGAAATGAAAACCCTTCCGCACAACGACTTGTTCCTGATGTCTTGGGAGCAGGCTGCTGCTACATACCACATTTACACCAGCTAGTAAAAGTCCGATCACTTTCTTTCTAGACTAATATGTTCTTTCTATCCATTTATACTATCTCTATGTATCTTTGGAGACTCTTGCACTGTACTTCTTCTTTCTTCTACACAACGTCGTCACACAATAGCAGTGCAAGGATGCATAATTGACCCATGTTTGGGGCGTTTACTCCTCTTCATCCATGGCTCCGTGTTCTCGCAAAAGTCTTCTAGAGGAAGAAGAGTCAGACGAGGCAGAAGATGCCGATGATACAGAGGATGCAGATGATACCGATGAAACCGAGGAGGCAGAAGAAACAGACTTCACCGAAGAGACGGTCTTCACCGAAGAGACGGTCTTCACCGACGGCAGCGATTGGACGGAAGGCTCAGACTTGCTAGACATCTTGGTAGAAGAGGACTTGAGAGAACTAGCAGATGCAGATTTGATCGTAGCTGTAGCAACTGGTACCGCGACAGTAACAGGCGCAAACGAAGAGCTAGCAACAGGTACAGTTGTTTGCAAGCGGCGGGTATCTCGAGGTTTCTTGGCCAAGATGGTGCGTGGTGCGGCAACAGCAAGGATGAATGCGAGGATGAGGGCGAATTTGTTCATTTTGGTACTGATGATGGCCGAATGCTTAATGAGCTTCCGGTTGATATAAGAGTTGTTTGATTCTGATTTTGTGAGATGAACGGAGATGAAGGTCAAGAGTCTTCATGATGATCTACGATCCAAGAAAGGATCAGTGCAAGATTGCTTGAGTCTTGTACTGGATTGAAAGGCGAGGAAAATCGATATCTTCCCACAGATAATGGAAGCCTCTCCAAATTTCCGACTTCCAAGGGTGAATGCTCAGAATTTTGTCGTGATTTTGGTTGTGAGTCTGTTTGTTGGCACAAAATTTGAACACATATTTTTTTTGAGTTGATCGCTGTTTCCATTGGAAGATTGACAAAGCTTTACAAATAATGCTGACATTTCCTACTTATGGTGTGGTTGCAGAAAAATTTAATCACACGAGAAGCCGCAGAATTCCCTCTATCGTTCACAAGATCGATATATCTCTTGACAATGAATCAATCTTGCTAAACATGACTAGGAAGCAATGGATTTTCCTCGCCTTTCAATCCAGTACAAGAATCAAACAATCTTGTAATGGCCGATGGATCGTGAGTCATGATGGAGACTCTTGACCTTCATCTCAGTTCATCTCACAAAGGCAAAAACAAATAACTTTGATAAAAACCAGAAAACTCAGCAAGCATTCGACCATCATCAGTACCAAAATGAACAAATTCGCCCTCATCCTCGCATTCATCCTTGCTGTTGCCGCACCACGCACCATCTTGGCCAAGAAACCTCGAGATACCCGCCGCTTGCAAACAACTGTACCTGTTGCTAGCTCTTCGTTTGCGCCTGTTACTGTCGCGGTACCAGTTGCTACAGCTACGATCAAATCTGCATCTGCTAGTTCTCTCAAGTCCTCTTCTACCAAGATGTCTAGCAAGTCTGAGCCTTCCGTCCAATCGCTGCCGTCGGTGAAGTCCGTCTCTTCTGTGAAGACCGTCTCTTCGGTGAAGTCTGTTTCTTCTGCCTCCTCGGTGTCATCGGTATCATCGGTATCATCTGCATCCTCTGTATCATCGGCATCTTCTGCCTCGTCTGACTCTTCTTCCTCTAGAAGACTTTTGCGAGAACACGGAGCCATGGATGAAGAGGAGTAAACGCCCCAAACATGGGTCAATTATGCATCCTTGCACTGCTATTGTGTGACGACGTTGTGTAGAAGAAAGAAGAAGTACAGTGCAAGAGTCTCCAAAGATACATAGAGATAGTATAAATGGATAGAAAGAACATATCAGTACAGAAAGAAAACCTTAAGATATACGAATATTTAAGTATTTCAGTGCATTAGACCACTGATGCCTGTCACGTCGTTGACGTCCAGAAGCGCGAAAGCATGGTTGCATTTGGTTCGTACCGGTACCATCAAAATCAACATGGCTTGTCCGTCTCTACTTCAAGCATTTTCCACTTGCTATGCCTCGACGAGTAGACTTAGTGATGGGTCGTTTCTTTCCATCGATACTATGCCTCCTAGTTCATGTATCTTCTCCACATTGAATTTGACTTTGTGCTTTGGTGAAAAGGATTACTCGGAAGAAGTGCAGTTGTGAAGCTCCGCATGAAATGAAAACCCTTCCGCACAACGACTTGTTCCTGATGTCTTGGGAGCAGGCTGCTGCTACATACCACATTTACACCAGCTAGTAAAAGTCCGATCACTTTCTTTCTAGACTAATATGTTCTTTCTATCCATTTATACTATCTCTATGTATCTTTGGAGACTCTTGCACTGTACTTCTTCTTTCTTCTACACAACGTCGTCACACAATAGCAGTGCAAGGATGCATAATTGACCCATGTTTGGGGCGTTTACTCCTCTTCATCCATGGCTCCGTGTTCTCGCAAAAGTCTTCTAGAGGAAGAAGAGTCAGACGAGTCAGAGGATGCCGAAGATGCCGATGATACAGATGATACCGATGATACCGATGATACCGAGGAGGCAGAAGAAACAGACTTCACCGAAGAGACGGTCTTCACCGACGGCAGCGATTGGACGGAAGGCTCAGACTTGCTAGACATCTTGGTAGAAGAGGACTTGAGAGAACTAGCAGATGCAGATTTGATCGTAGCTGTAGCAACTGGTACCGCGACAGTAACAGGCGCAAACGAAGAGCTAGCAACAGGTACAGTTGTTTGCAAGCGGCGGGTATCTCGAGGTTTCTTGGCCAAGATGGTGCGTGGTGCGGCAACAGCAAGGATGAATGCGAGGATGAGGGCGAATTTGTTCATTTTGGTACTGATGATGGCCGAATGCTTAATGAGCTTCCGGTTGATATAAGAGTTGTTTGATTCTGATTTTGTGAGATGAACGGAGATGAAGGTCAAGAGTCTTCATGATGATCTACGATCCAAGAAAGGATCAGTGCAAGATTGCTTGAGTCTTGTACTGGATTGAAAGGCGAGGAAAATCGATATCTTCCCACAGATAATGGAAGCCTCTCCAAATTTCCGACTTCCAAGGGTGAATGCTCAGAATTTTGTCGTGATTTTGGTTGTGAGTCTGTTTGTTGGCACAAAATTTGAACACATATTTTTTTTGAGTTGATCGCTGTTTCCATTGGAAGATTGACAAAGCTTTACAAATAATGCTGACATTTCCTACTTATGGTGTGGTTGCAGAAAAATTTAATCACACGAGAAGCCGCAGAATTCCCTCTATCGTTCACAAGATCGATATATCTCTTGACAATGAATCAATCTTGCTAAACATGACTAGGAAGCAATGGATTTTCCTCGCCTTTCAATCCAGTACAAGAATCAAACAATCTTGTAATGGCCGATGGATCGTGAGTCATGATGGAGACTCTTGACCTTCATCTCAGTTCATCTCACAAAGGCAAAAACAAATAACTTTGATAAAAACCAGAAAACTCAGCAAGCATTCGACCATCATCAGTACCAAAATGAACAAATTCGCCCTCATCCTCGCATTCATCCTTGCTGTTGCCGCACCACGCACCATCTTGGCCAAGAAACCTCGAGATACCCGCCGCTTGCAAACAACTGTACCTGTTGCTAGCTCTTCGTTTGCGCCTGTTACTGTCGCGGTACCAGTTGCTACAGCTACGATCAAATCTGCATCTGCTAGTTCTCTCAAGTCCTCTTCTACCAAGATGTCTAGCAAGTCTGAGCCTTCCGTCCAATCGCTGCCGTCGGTGAAGTCCGTCTCTTCTGTGAAGACCGTCTCTTCGGTGAAGTCTGTTTCTTCTGCCTCCTCGGTGTCATCGGTATCATCGGTATCATCTGCATCCTCTGTATCATCGGCATCTTCTGCCTCGTCTGACTCTTCTTCCTCTAGAAGACTTTTGCGAGAACACGGAGCCATGGATGAAGAGGAGTAAACGCCCCAAACATGGGTCAATTATGCATCCTTGCACTGCTATTGTGTGACGACGTTGTGTAGAAGAAAGAAGAAGTACAGTGCAAGAGTCTCCAAAGATACATAGAGATAGTATAAATGGATAGAAAGAACATATCAGTACAGAAAGAAAACCTTAAGATATACGAATATTTAAGTATTTCAGTGCATTAGACCACTGATGCCTGTCACGTCGTTGACGTCCAGAAGCGCGAAAGCATGGTTGCATTTGGTTCGTACCGGTACCATCAAAATCAACATGGCTTGTCCGTCTCTACTTCAAGCATTTTCCACTTGCTATGCCTCGACGAGTAGACTTAGTGATGGGTCGTTTCCTTCCATCGATACTGTGCCTCCTAGTTCATGTATCTTCTCCACATTGAATTTGACTTTGTCCTTTGGTGAAAAGGATTACTCGGAAGAAGTGCAGTTGTGAAGCTCCGCATGAAATGAAAATCCTTCCGCACAACGACTTGTTCCTGATGTCTTGGGAGCAGGCTGCTGCTACATACCACATTTACACCAGCTAGTAAAAGTCCGATCACTTTCTTTCTAGACTAATATGTTCTTTCTATCCATTTATACTATCTCTATGTATCTTTGGAGACTCTTGCACTGTACTTCTTCTTTCTTCTACACAACGTCGTCACACAATAGCAGTGCAAGGATGCATAATTGACCCATGTTTGGGGCGTTTACTCCTCTTCATCCATGGCTCCGTGTTCTCGCAAAAGTCTTCTAGAGGAAGAAGAGTCAGACGAGTCAGAGGATGCCGAAGATGCCGATGATACAGATGATACCGATGATACCGATGATACCGATGATACCGATGATACCGATGATACCGAGGAGGCAGAAGAAACAGACTTCACCGAAGAGACGGTCTTCACCGACGGCAGCGATTGGACGGAAGGCTCAGACTTGCTAGACATCTTGGTAGAAGAGGACTTGAGAGAACTAGCAGATGCAGATTTGATCGTAGCTGTAGCAACTGGTACCGCGACAGTAACAGGCGCAAACGAAGAGCTAGCAACAGGTACAGTTGTTTGCAAGCGGCGGGTATCTCGAGGTTTCTTGGCCAAGATGGTGCGTGGTGCGGCAACAGCAAGGATGAATGCGAGGATGAGGGCGAATTTGTTCATTTTGGTACTGATGATGGCCGAATGCTTAATGAGCTTCCGGTTGATATAAGAGTTGTTTGATTCTGATTTTGTGAGATGAACGGAGATGAAGGTCAAGAGTCTTCATGATGATCTACGATCCAAGAAAGGATCAGTGCAAGATTGCTTGAGTCTTGTACTGGATTGAAAGGCGAGGAAAATCGATATCTTCCCACAGATAATGGAAGCCTCTCCAAATTTCCGACTTCCAAGGGTGAATGCTCAGAATTTTGTCGTGATTTTGGTTGTGAGTCTGTTTGTTGGCACAAAATTTGAACACATATTTTTTTTGAGTTGATCGCTGTTTCCATTGGAAGATTGACAAAGCTTTACAAATAATGCTGACATTTCCTACTTATGGTGTGGTTGCAGAAAAATTTAATCACACGAGAAGCCGCAGAATTCCCTCTATCGTTCACAAGATCGATATATCTCTTGACAATGAATCAATCTTGCTAAACATGACTAGGAAGCAATGGATTTTCCTCGCCTTTCAATCCAGTACAAGAATCAAACAATCTTGTAATGGCCGATGGATCGTGAGTCATGATGGAGACTCTTGACCTTCATCTCAGTTCATCTCACAAAGGCAAAAACAAATAACTTTGATAAAAACCAGAAAACTCAGCAAGCATTCGACCATCATCAGTACCAAAATGAACAAATTCGCCCTCATCCTCGCATTCATCCTTGCTGTTGCCGCACCACGCACCATCTTGGCCAAGAAACCTCGAGATACCCGCCGCTTGCAAACAACTGTACCTGTTGCTAGCTCTTCGTTTGCGCCTGTTACTGTCGCGGTACCAGTTGCTACAGCTACGATCAAATCTGCATCTGCTAGTTCTCTCAAGTCCTCTTCTACCAAGATGTCTAGCAAGTCTGAGCCTTCCGTCCAATCGCTGCCGTCGGTGAAGACCGTCTCTTCGGTGAAGTCTGTTTCTTCTGCCTCCTCGGTATCATCGGTATCATCGGTATCATCTGTATCATCGGCATCTTCGGCATCCTCTGACTCGTCTGACTCTTCTTCCTCTAGAAGACTTTTGCGAGAACACGGAGCCATGGATGAAGAGGAGTAAACGCCCCAAACATGGGTCAATTATGCATCCTTGCACTGCTATTGTGTGACGACGTTGTGTAGAAGAAAGAAGAAGTACAGTGCAAGAGTCTCCAAAGATACATAGAGATAGTATAAATGGATAGAAAGAACATATCAGTACAGAAAGAAAACCTTAAGATATACGAATATTTAAGTATTTCAGTGCATTAGACCACTGATGCCTGTCACGTCGTTGACGTCCAGAAGCGCGAAAGCATGGTTGCATTTGGTTCGTACCGGTACCATCAAAATCAACATGGCTTGTCCGTCTCTACTTCAAGCATTTTCCACTTGCTATGCCTCGACGAGTAGACTTAGTGATGGGTCGTTTCCTTCCATCGATACTGTGCCTCCTAGTTCATGTATCTTCTCCACATTGAATTTGACTTTGTCCTTTGGCGAAATGGACTCCTTGGAAGAAGTCCAGTTGTGAAGTTCCGCATCAAACGAAAACCCGGCCGCACGAAGTTGATCACCCGAAATCATTGCATTGAAATAATTGAAAACAAGAAGTGACATGTGTGATGGACGACATTCATTTACAATGCCTTGTAGCTGTAGATTCAGAGATACGAAAGGACCAGTTAGCACAGCCACCTTGGCAAAACGAATGCCATGAAATGGTGAATTTGGACTGCGACGTACCTCACAACCAATAGTAGGGCAGAATACTAAAGCATCACAAGATACATTGTAGTGTATATGGGGTAGTTCATTCAAGATCCAACCTTTTGCTTCCTTATTCCTGTCGCCGATAAGCTTCACATCTTCAAAGCCCATCAAGATCCCTCCAAGGCCCTCGGAGTACTTCATCAACATGGCTCGGATTGCATCTTCAACAGACTTTTCGCTATTGCGAAGAGATCCAGGCAACAAAGAGACGAGGAGTTCAATTCTCTTTCTTGAAAAGATTGTTCGTTCGATTGAGGCCCTGGATGATCGTTTCGTTGACAGTGATTTCTTGATTGATGGTTCTTCCTTCCCTTCAGCTGATTCGGCGTTCGAGCTGGACCTAGACCTTTTTCGAGTCGACTGCTCACTGTTCGTTCGATCACGTTTCGCCATGCTTGGTTGTCTCTTTAAATTGGTAATGGCAACTGACGACTCTTTCCAAACACGCATATATAAAAATAGAACGATTGGTTTTTGGTTCATTTTTCTTGGATGGTTGACAGACGACCATCTTTTAGTCGAAGTGTTCAACTTCAAATGCTTGAGCAAAATAAATAGATAAAACAAATGAAACTTTTTAAAACTATCTGGTACCGGTGCAACTAAATCAGTTGGAGAAGCATCTCCTCATTGCGCTACATATCAACTACAATGAACTGATGTTACATCGGTCAGCCAGCTCAAGAAAGCAGCAACTCTGGTGGCGCTTTTCTTTTCTTCGGTATTCTGCAGCTATACTTATTTTCAGTCAAATCGTTTCCCGCTTCATACTACCTTCACATTCATCACTGGGGAAGGACGATGATGCATTGTCCGTGATTAGCTATGATGTTGGACTGGATGCATTTGACCTTGGAATAAATGAACAAAGTCATGAAATCAATATCCTGACTTGCAAAGGCCATAAAAGCATCTCAAACCGGGTTGTCGCCCCAGCTCAATTTATGAAGAATCCTCATTTCAATGTCTTCTCACGAGATCTCGAGAGAAACAATCATTTAGTGAAGAACAACTACATCGTCTATGGTGATCGTTCAAGTCAACTATCTGTATACTTTCACATTCATAAATGCGGAGGCACAACAATGGAATACATGTCGACAAAGCTGCAAAAAGAAGATTTGAATTGGAAGACGGAACAGGAGATTGGGAGCCTTGCTTTCAATGAAAAAATATCCAAGCTACTGGAAGACGTAGAGGAGAGAGGTGCAACATTGTTCTCGTTCTGTCGAGATCCAGTGCTGCGCTTCTTAAGTTCATTGGGGCAGCTGCTGTCTATGCCTCAGCGGCACCGCAAGTTGGCTCCATGTCACTTGCATCGAAGATCTGCTAGAAAACTCGTTTCTTGTGTTTTGGACAAGATGACCGACGGCGGAGACTATAGAAACTATTTGGACCCCCATTTCATGCCACAAGTTTATGAGTTGTATTCGGCAGTGCAAGGAAAGTCAGAGATTGGAATCCAACTTTTTGCCTTGTCCAGTTTGGATCAATTGCAGCGATCTTGTAGTATCCATGAAGGCTCCAGCAACCCTTCGCGATATAGGGTAGCCCAACATGTGACTGGGTTTTCAAAGTTGTCGGTTCGCTCCTTGACTCCCCACTTGATCGATCGAATCTGCCAAGTCTACGTGATGGATGTCCTCTTTCTTCAATCATTGGGCGAACTGGAAAGTACTATTTGTCGGCGGAGTTAATATATGCTTTGACGACACTCTAGCATCTTCTCTTTCTCTCAGGACTGCACATGAATACGTACTCTGCTTGGCAAGAAACAACTTCCCTATGACGGGAAGACGAAAATTGTGGACACAAATTGGCATAACATTAGCAACACAGAACCAGACATTCCGAGTTTTCATGATGCCATTTGCTTTGCATGAAAAGCAAGGAAAAAATCAGTTGTTGTGGGATGGCAAGTTTGCTAGGTGGCTATAACTAGAGATTGTTGTGGGGTACCGGTATACTAATCAGCTCCTGGCTTCAGCAAATTGATGACAAGTAGAGTTGTCTTTGTCCACGGAGCTGTAATACATCGCTTTGGTATGGAATCTTTCTATCATATCTATCTCAGGAGTTCATAAAAATTACTATTATCATTTGTATTTGCATCATGTGGGTGTCAACTGTACTCGTACACCTGATTTGAGAACCGTCAAGTTGTGATGGCTGCGCGTCGCCTTCTCGCATTGCATGGCTTGGTTCGCCAGCGACATAAAAGTTCCCTACCAAAAACGTCAGTCTTTGACACCTCCTCAAAGGCCGAACCAGCGCTATCAAACTTTGCTTCGATTCGCTAATTGTCACTGTCTGTGCGAACAAAGAACAGCCACTGAACTTCTGGCCGTGCGTCGCGAGCACGCGAAACAATTTTTATGGTTGAGAACTGTTTGATTGATTGATTCATTCACTCGCTTTTGAGTACACGTGTCATTGAACTAATCATCAGCAATAGCTTGCCTAGCCACCGTATAGAAAGATATGAAACACCCAATCCACAGGTATCAATAGATAGAGAAGATATTGACGAGGAAGTGTGGTAGAGGTGTTCCACGATGCCCACTCTCGGTCAAGGGTTCCTCAACTCCTGGTTGAAGGTGAATAACAAACATGTTGTGATTCCCAACAAGAATGACAAGGAAGGAAAGATTGAAGGATCGAAGCTAAGAAAACCTAGTCCTGAAACTGTAATGACTGAGCGTACTGTGAAATCATCAATCGAAGAGGAACGAACGCAAATCATTCGTCGCTTTAGCAACCGTAAAAATAAGAAACGGTTGAATCGTACAATTTCGGCTTCCGATTTGATTCGAGACCAGATATCAGGGAAAGGAAGCAAGAAAAACGTCAAAGACGGAGTTGTTGATAATGAATACGCATCAAAAGCATCAGCTGGATCTTCGTCCAATTCAATTTTTGGTTCCAATCGAAGTCAACATCAAATAACTGGTTCAATTTTTGGTTCCAATCGAAGTCAACATCATGCAGCTGGTTCAATCTTTGGCTCCAATCGAAGCCAACATCAAGCAAGTGGAGCTTCCAATTCATTTTTTGATTCCAATGATAGTCTACATCAAACAACTGGAACTTCATCCAATTCAACCTTTGATTCCAAAAGTCAACATAAGACACAACAACAACAACAGCAATATCAAGACGAATATTCTTTGTCATCATCCACAAAACCAATTCACCAAGAGCATATGCCTGATACTGCATCACAAACGAATGGCTCCTTGAGATTTGTGGCTGGTTTCTTTGGTGCTGATATCGATATTGGTACACTTGGCTCGGGGAACAATGACGCTCAAAAGCACCATCATCGATTGGCAAAAGTATCAGGTCCAAATGGAAAACGCCATTCCGCGTCAGGGGGGAGTTCGGTACCAGGGAGAATAAAGCCGAAAGCTCCTGGTGGTGGGGGTGGAGGAATGGGACTTCGATTTCCACCAAACATTTTTGCGCTAGAGAGTAGTGTACATTCTGAAAAAAAATGTCAGCATTGCTCCGAATTGGAGGATGAATTAGCATTGGCACGGGAAGATGTAGAGTACCTGCGAGGGATATCTCTTCGAAACGAGTATTCAAACTACTCTCCTGACCAACAACAGGACGACGACAATCAGGGGGAAGCGCCAAATCGATATAGTTCGCTCGAAGAATCCGAGTCGACGCAGCATATTGAAATTGAAGAGATGAAGAAGGAATGGGTAAGTCTGAGACTTTTCAATCTTCGTTGCTTTTTAGCACATGTTCTTTCCTCACCAATAATCGATTTCATTTTTTACTTTTCTCCAGGCTACAATGCAGGACGAAATGCAACAGGAGATACGAAAATATGCGGATCTTTGCGTCAAACTCAATGAAGAAGCTGAGTTTCGATCCAATGAAGCCATGAACCTGCACGTGGAGCTCAACTCGGTATCCCGTGAGCGTGATGAAATGGCAACCGAGGCGGAAACTTTGCGAGCGAAAGTAGCAGAGTATGAAAAGCGAGAAACGGAGCATAGAAAAGCAGAGACACTACTGCAGCAGTACGAAGAACATGGATTGGAGTCTGCTAACAGGGAGATTGGAGTAAGAGATGCCATGATTGAAGAACTTTCCAAACGGCTGGAATTTGCTCTCGATACCTTGAGCATGGAACGCGAAAAGCAAAATCAGCGACGACAAATCATTTTCCCAAATAAAAGCAATCATAACAATTCATCGGCTACAGCTATGGAACGAGAATTGAGATCCACCAAAGAGTCACTTCAAAGAGCGGAAGAAACAATCGAACTTTTGCGACGGGAAACAAATGGCGGTGTGAAACGAGGCTAAGTAAGGGCCGTCTCTGTTATTGAAATTTTTGAAACAGCTACCACTGTTCGAGATGCACACTGCATCTCTATAGCACATTAGACATCATCACAAATATAGACTACACACACACAAACTCTATCACTGTCACTATCAAAAGAAGTTGCTCCATTTGGCTTATTCTGTTTTTACAATATGTTTTCATGTTGCTATTTAAACCTAGTAGCCTAGCAGTGTTGGGTGATCTATCGAATCACCGACCCCAAAGTATTGGGAAACAAGAGACCACCTGCATTTGATTTCCCATCCGATCGCGGTCCGGGGAAAATCTGCCAAAATCGTAGCGTCTCATCGCCCGCTCCCGTGACAATGGTAGATCCATCTGGGGACATGGCCAAGTAAAGCACACGATACGTGTGTCCAGTCAAGGTAACGACCTTACTCAAACTGGGGTATCGCCACACCACAATTTGATTGAGCGAGTAGCCATGGGTACTGACAATTTCATTGCAATTCTGGGACCAAGCCAAGTTGCAGACTTGACTACCCGTGTCTACACAATTGAGGCTGGAACCACTTAGAGTGTTCCAGAATCGAATGCACCGATCTGCCGTACCACCTCCACTGGCCAACAAACCGTGTTGATGGGGTGACCAAGCAATCGCCTTGACAGCAGCCGTGTGATCGGAGAATCGATGAACTGGTGCCCCTGGATTTCGACTATCGACCACGTGCAACTGGTTGTCATTGCCACCCGAGGCCAAAAAGGCAGGTTCGTCAAAGGACCATTTCAGTCCACAGACTTCTTGTTTGTGAGCTGCCAATCGATCCGTGTACGAAGCTTGCACTCGAACGTCTCGTAGAAATACCAATCTATCCCGACTTCCACTTGCCAAGGTGGCACCCGTCCACGCCAAAGTTCCAACTCGAGCAGAATGACCATCCATCGTACGAACTTGTTTGCACTTGATGGTATCCCACAATTGGACTTCACCCTTGTTGGTGCCCACCGCCAAGTGCGTTCCGCGTTGGGCCCAAGACACAGAAGTGACGTGATCTTCGGTAGCCGCCAAATCACAGAGTTTTGTAACTTTAGATGTGCAAGCACTCCACAAGTAAACACACGATCCCAGTCCCACTGCCAAAACATTTTGAGACGACCAATCTACCAAGTTGAGATAAAAGTCATCCTGCAAGGCTGGTGCATCCAACACTTTGAAAGGCACCTTGGCAATCCGGCGTCGTCTCTTTTGTGGGGCTGCCATGAGTCGTTGACTGCCAGCACTTCCGACTGGTGTTAGACTGAAGTTATTCACGACTGATGTGGGTCCCATATCATTGCCATAGACGGTATCTTGAAAGGCTTGACGGGGACTTCGGAATTGTAAACGATTCATGCCGTCTCGAAGAGGAGTCGCGTTGCCCGACGATCGTGAAATCTGGCCCATGGCCGAATGCCCAGAGTAGGGACTGATATTTTCTCCCAAGAGTTCTGAACGTAGTAACACATTGTGCAAATTGGCCTGAGAGGATTGGGCTCCGTCGCCTTGTCGCGGATAGGCACTAGCGCTCGCGCTAGTGTCATCGTTTGTAGTACCATTGGTATTGGATTGATTACCATCATTCGCTGGATTGTCTGATTCCGCACTGTGGTTGTTGTTTGAACCAGCATTTCGATCGTGAATCGAATCCCAGAGGTTGACCTTCATGTTGGATGTAGCTCGCGAGGGAATAAAGCGATCCGACGAGCCGAGATCCGAATGCATTCGCCCAAACATGCGATTGGGAGTACTGGAGGCACTTCCTTGACTGCTGCTACCCAAACTATTTTCTCGCATCAAGTAGGAAAAGCTGCGCCGAGGCGAATCCATATTAGCTCGTGGAGAGATAATGGGAACGGGTCGAAAGATGGAAATGTCACTATCACGTGTAATGCCAGGTGGTGGCAGAATTCTGGTCGTTGATGGAACCGTAGGATATGGTTGTGATAATCTCTTGGCATACTGTGGATCCAAACGTGACCTGGCTGGGGATGGCAGTGGCAACCGAACTGAGCGTTCCGATCGTTGAGCCGAGTTGAGCAGCGACTCAGATGACATTGGCGTCGACGTGTCTTGAGTCGCTGGTGTCATGGCAGGTTCCTTTCCATCAATCCTGTTGGAAGGCGACATGCTGGACGATGCCCGTGGTTGGACAATGTCGTTCTGTGCCATCATGTCTGTGTTAAGACTGTCGTTGTCCATATTCGCCATACTTGCGGCTGATAGTGTCATGGTTTCAATAAGTTATCAACAGTAGCAACAGGAAGGAGACCAATCAATCTAGAATCTCGACACCACAATGATGTTATGCGTTAACAATAGGGTGATATGATGTAGTATGAATGGAGTGGCAACGAGACGCGTTCTGGTTCCAACAGCCAAAAGAGATTATGAGCAAGTGGTGTAGATTGAAATCGTTTCGTTCAGTTGTTGGCAATGCGAGACAGTATGATCGTGGGAGTTTCCAAACCTCTCCGTCAGTTTGATAACATTGTGCGACTCTTGCAAACGGAGCTTCCCTCCGAACCAAAACGCGTCCGGAAAACCAAAAACGCGCAGGCTCTCCCACGCCACCTAAAAACCTCGCTTATATGGGAGTAGCGATCCGTACTGTCGCTAGTTTTGGTACACACGGTGGACATCGGTTAATTTCCGTTGGAAAAGAGTCGTAGGAATCAAATGAACGATATTTTTCGATCCTGCTTTCCATCTTGATTTGCTTGGCATTATTAATTAATTAGTCATGTTAGAGTACAATAGCTTGCAAAACAAAGAGAGCGATTATTTTGTACAGCCACTTCCTAGTATGGTACTAATTTGCAAAATATTGGTACAGCCAATTCTATGGTACAAATTTGCAAAACTCATCAACGAACAAAGAAGGTTGGTGAGCACCAACTTTTTTCAAAGCCAAGGATTACCAACCGACATACTCGAAACTAGTAATATTGACCAAAATACTCAATTAACCACATACTATTTAGCATTATAGCGCTATTCTACATGGTTTCTTGACCCCTTTGGATGCCCCGTATTCTTGTGTGTATCTTCAATGAGCGTTATTGACTATGCAGTAATGGGATCGTCCGATATGGGCGAACTTCGTATTGGACTCCCCAACAAACTGACGGGATCTTGTGGATGCGTCAAAGTCATTTGCTGTCGCGCACTGTCTGAAATGGACATTAATCCACCATGTGGTGGTCCCACTTGAATAGATGCGCTAACACCACGTGCGGGTGCTGGTTCTCCCACCACCATATCATCGTCCATGAAAGGTTCCGTGGCGTAGGATTCGGGGAATCCTTGGATTTTGAGATTCAAACGACGAAGGGTCATAAACTCATCCATTTCTACCTGTATCGCTGCACTTCGCATTTCGGGCAAGGGTTCTCCTGGTCGTCTAGACAACTTGGGTTGGTAGGGGCAAATGTGGCCCTTTTTGGGAACTCCACACTGTAAAAGTAAAAAAGGATAGAAGTGTCATGTTAGAAGTCATGTTCCCTTCAAAGGCATCAAATAATCTTCCACAAAATGGAGTCTTACCCTTCCACACTTGTAACTTCCTCTTCCCTTGTCCTTGCTATCACGGGTACCAGCGCCAGTGCTATTGCCGTCGTCATCCGGACCTACACCCAGCGAATGGTACATGGTTTCCATATCGGAAGTTTCAATGGGTTGACATACAATCCCCGGTGCCCCAGAAGGAGCACGTGTGGGATATCCTCCTCGTATCATTTCTTGAGACGGCGGTCGGGGACGCCCTGGAACAGCTCCTCGGGGTGGAGTATTGGTAGAGTTGAACATGGCTGGATTGCCGTATCCAGGCGGTGGCTGTTGCATCCTCGATCCTCCAGTACCTTGCCAACTCGAGGGCGGCGGGCCACCACTGTATTGACCACCTTGCGACCATTGACTTCCTTGGGGATGCCCCCATCCGCCTTGAAACCCAGATTGGGATCCACTACTACTGCCGTCAGGGGTTTTCTGTGGAGGAACGTGGGGAGGACCAGGTGGTTTGCCCCCACGACTAGCTCCTCGCATGGGAGGAAGTGGGCCTCTTCCATATCCAGGGCCATAGCCAGCACGATCCGGTGTCATTGAAGGGCCTCCTCGTTGTCCATACATGGCTCCAGGAGGTGGTCCATTGTGGGGCCAAGGAGGTCTCTGTGATGGAGGATTGGAATATTGTCCATGTTGCATGTACATGTACGAAGATTGCGGCCCCATGGCAGATTGAGGTCCCATCGAAGTACCACCTGGTCCATAGGGGGGCTGTTGGTATCTTCCGTGCGGTAGTGGCTGGCCATAGGGATAACCAGCAGGAGGCATGATACCATCACCCTTGTGGCGTTTTGCAGAACGGTCTGGGGGTCCAGGAGTTGACATTATTGATGTTGTGATTCAAATTTAGCAACTGCAAACACAATTTTGGCTTTCTAAAGAGACGGAGACAACAAGAGGCGTCGGAGTTTGATGGATTGAAGATTGGAGACGCTGTCTTGGTTGCTTCGATTTTGCTTCGTTCCATCGAAGCAAGTTTGCGTTGAACGGATTTCACCAACAAATCTAACGTCCGCGAGACGACGCCGGCGATGCGTTGCGCTCTATGTATCTCAAGTTTGCTCGCAGAATCTAAATATTTATATGCAGGCGAAAAACACACGCCGTACCTACTATCGCTCTCTCACGCAATCCAAGTTTCTCACCATCCTATCCTCGAAGAAAAGGCGAAAACAATACCAAACGATTGGAGGTGACTATTTTTGAATATGCCTATCTACTGTAGTTCATCCATGCTTACATTGTACACATAATTCCAACTTCTGGAACAAGACTGAGATGGAAGGTATCTCTGATTTTGAAGGCCTTGGTCTTGAAAAGAAGTTTCCAAGAATTTCGCTTTCTTGCTGTTACTCGTAGCGTTCTATAGATAAGCTGAAAATAATCAATTCAATTGCCTCAAACATTTGCTGAGCCGATTGACATTGTGACATGAATTCTTCTTTAGTATGCTTTCGTCATTGACTTGTAGGATGACTATGCATGGCTGCGTTTCCAATGATTTTGTTTTTTAAATTTCCTCTAGGATTTTATTCTTATTGCGGTGCTGTTGATTGTACACTGAAAATATCTTCTTTTAATTTCTGAAGACTTTTCGCGCTTGGCATCGATTGGGAGTTGTATGGCTGGATTCACAAAGACAAGATAAATTATGGGCAGATTCTTCTTCGTTCGTCCATTGGCCTGGTAGTTTCTAAAAAACTAACGCATCGAAAATTAGCTTCGCTGGGCCCTATTTTTAAAGTCATGCATGGCAACTGGTCTACTACAAACTCATGTCTACGAGTGAGGTTCGTATTTTGCGATATCAAGCTCTTTGGCAATAACACCCAAAGAAGGTATCTTGTAACAGCTTTTCCCCCATTTCATTCGTGGAACTTTCAGGTGCGAACGCGCGAAACATGACCGTTTGTCGTAATTTCACGCCAGCCGATTTCTCGCAGACACAGATTTTCGTGAGCGATTATCATCACTTTTCACTGTCAACAACAACAGCAGAACAAAGGCCATCATGGTGATCCAGAAGGACATGCCAGTGTTGGCACCCCCAGGCCCTAACAATTCGTATTTACAGTATAATACCTCGTTCTCTACGCTGCCGTCGAAAATCAAGGCTCCAAGTCGTCTGAGGAAAAATGCACCAACCAGATCCAACTCTGTTCGATCGGCCCGTTCTACTCGAACCGAGGATAGAGTGGATGTGGAAGCCTACGATCCCTTCAATGACGAAAGAGAGGATATAGAAGATTCTAGATCCCTATTCAGTGAGGAGAGTTCTAGAGATTTGTGGCCGCAAATGCCATTGTCCATTTCTCAGAAAGATGATGACTACTTACCAGAAACTGGTCCAACCGGAACTCCAAAGCGAAAGAAGACAGGTTCCACCCCATTCAAGTCACCCAAGCCAAGCAAAGACGACGATGAGGGCTTTAGCGATGGATTTCGGGTTTCGTACACCAGCTCTATTCCTCAGCCAAGATCAAGTGTCTCGAGTGGTGGTAACTTAACCAAAAAAGAGAACAATAATACCGGTAGTCATCCCTTCGACGAATCCCGTGCTTCGTCCGCAACCACAACCACAACACCCATTCGCGTATCCAAGCCTAGCGTATTGGATAAATACAAGCCTAGCGGGCAGGAAGCGCGTGAGGGATTTGGATTCCATGCTTCACAGCCCTCTCCAAGGCGGTTGTCACAATCAAGTGTATCCAGCGGCAAGCTTGTGTCTGCCAATGAAACCGAACCCACCAACGGCTTCCGTTCCTCATTTTCATCCGCTTTCACCCCTCAAGGTGGTGCAAGATTGAGCATCGGAAGTGCCCATACATCCCAAGCAGCCGATGACAATGGAAGCGTAGCCTCCGCCTCCCAACGATCCACAAAGTCCAGTGTATTCAACAAATACACTGCCAATTTGAGCCAAGGTACCGAAAAGCACAATGCTCCGAAGATGGTAGTTACTCCACTTCGCGTCAAAAAATCAAGTATATCCAACAGATACTTGTCTGCAGTCGCGTCGAAGGGAGACGATCCTTCGAATTCGGTCAAGCCGGAAGTAACACCCAATGTGGACGAGCCAGCAAAGACTGAGGAAAACGTCAAGACTGACTTTGGAAAAGTTGGGGCTCGTCGCAGATCGTCGTCTTTTTCAACGGCCAAGACGGATGACCCAGCAAAGGTTGAGATGCCTGCCAAAACTAAACCTGGAAAGTTAGGGCCTCATCTGCTAAGATCGTCGTCGTTTTCAAAAGCAAAGATGGAAGAGGCAGCAAAGATTGAGGTCTCCGTCAAAAACAAACCTGGAAAGGTAGGGCCTCATCTGCTAAGATCGTCGTCATTTTCAACAGCCAAGATGGAAGAGCCAGCAAAGACTGAGGAGCCCGCCGAAATTGACTTTGGAAAGATTGGGGCTCCTCGAAGGTCGTCGTCTTTTTCAACAGCCAAGATGGATGAGCCGGCAAAGGTTGAGGTGCCTGCCAAAACTGAACCTGGAAAGTTAGGGGCTCATCTGCCAAGATCGTCGTCTTTTTCAACAGCCAAGATGGAAGAGCCAGCAAAGAGTGAGGTCCCTGCCAAAACTGAAACGGCAGGAACCCATCTGAGGTCTTCTTCGTTTTCTTCAGTTCCAAAGATGTGGTTGCCGCCAAAAGAGCAATCAAAGAAGACTTCTGTGCCCTACAGCAAGAATTCTGCTTCGAAGGAAGAAAATGACACGGAAAAGATGATTGAATCTAGAATTACCCTGGAAATGTCGAAGATGAAGATTCAATTCGACGAAGAAGTCCAGCGTATCGAGGAACAGATGGAGCAGAAGTACAAGAATCGGATCGAGGCTCTAGAGGAAAAGACCGAAAAGATGAATAAAATCATTGGGAAAATGATATCCAAGAGAAAGAGTATGGACAACACCGACATGGATCGCGTTGCAGTTTGAAACAACCGAGATTTAACACGAGTAGCACGAATGTGGCAAAGATAACGATACAATAATGAAATAGTATAGAACCGAAAACTAATATTGATCGCCAAGTTAGATTTTAATTCTACTCCCAAATCAATTATCACCTAGCTCAAGATTTTCGAGCACGCTTCTTTGCAGCTGCTGGTTTCGCTTCAGACGCCACATCAGGAACGGTCTTGGCAGCTACCGCCTTTGCAGTTTTTGCAGCAGCAGCAGTTGGTGTAACTTTCATGGCAGCTGCTGCGGCAGCTGCTGCCGCCAGAGCAGCACCCGGAACAGCAACAGCAGACGCTACTGCAGTCTGAGCCTTGTTGTCGACCTTTCGCTTGCGCTTTCCACCTGATTTTCCTTTCTTTGCGCCACCTTGGGTCTCTGCTTTACCCGCTTCGTCTGGTTTGCCCTTTGTTTGAGCTCCCTTTTGTCCACCTGCTTTTGACTGAGCTCCAGCCTTCGACTTCGATGCAGGTGCTTTGGACTTTCCACCCTTTGATTTTGATCCTTTGCTAGTAGCTGCAGCTGCGGGAGCTGGTGAAGGCTGTGCAACAATACCAAGAAGGGCTTCTTCATCCGGTGTTTGGCTGTCTCCCCCACGCAACTTGGCAAGTCTAACCCGCTTCGCTTGAAGGCTTCCCTCTTTCTGCATCAGCTGCTTCTTCAACGTTATCAACGTCAAAATATGCTTTCTTACGGTATCATACAAATCGCAAACACGTCTTGTTGGAACTGGTTTTGCAGACACCTTAAGTTCCTTCAGGGTTTGATCCATCTTGGTCAGTAGTGTTTTGTTTATACCAGTAGCCCCACCAGTAGCAGGTGGAATGAGTCGCCCAGATTGTAGGTATGGATTTTGTGGCATTGGCATTGGTGCTGTGGAGGCAAAACTTTGGCCCAGCAATGCAGGGGAGTCGGCCACGGCGGCACCTGGGACGGGTGATTGGGACCGCGACGCGTTGCGTGAAGAAGCGGCGCTGCTCATTCGGCTCGGTGCAACCACCCCGGCAGACCGGGCGGCTCCCGTAATGTGACCTCCCATCTTCTTTATCTTTCTAAGTTTGGCTTCAATTTGCTTCAACTCTTTTCTCAGTCTAATTTCCTCGACTTCTTCTTCCTTACTTCGATTCCACATTCGGTCTAGATGCAACCGCCGTTCTCGTTCATAGTCAGCATCAAACATTTTATTGGAGGTACCCGTACCAATGCTGTTGATTAGAGGTTGGTTCTTTGGATGTGCTGCTGCAAGCGATTTGGCTGCTGCAGTTTGAAGCAGAACGGCTTCGGTTCGTTCCTTCGCATCTGGTGCTGATTGGTCCGGAACGATTGCCGATAATCTTTGTGATTCTTCTGCAGCTATCTGTGATATTCTTGCCTGAGATAGTGTCGCAGCCACACTGTAGTACCGCTTTTGTAGATCATCGACTGATCGAGTAATAAAAGTATCGTCAACATCCGCAGAATTATAATAGTCAAACCAATGGTCATGTATCACTGCCCATCTCAATTCATACTTTCCAGCTAGTTCCATCAGGTAGTCAGTCTCACTTTTTGTCCATTCATCGCTTTTCAAGTATTTGGCGTATTCATCGTCCGTGTAAACAACTTGATTCATGTGAACGTCGAACTTGGCATAAGGATAGTCAGTGTACTCCACCTCTGCCCGAACCCAATGGTTGAAGAGAGCACCATCTGGCCTTGACGATGATGCAAAAGATGTCCATGTCCATTTCCTAGCTGGTTTGTCGCTTGAAATCATTTTATTCCCGATTTTTACTTTTGTTGGACCATTTTGGTCACTGTTATCCTGGGTGAATGTGGGCGCAATAGGAGGGAGAGCTGCCGATTTCTTGTCTTGTTTTCCATGCAATATGGGCTGTAATTCCTTCGAAATTTCCATCATTCTCCTTGCCTTTGAAGGCTCCAGTCCTCGAAGAGCTGGCGGTACATCTTGTTCAACGCTATCGCCCAGAATGAACGCAGCATCATTCATGGTTTAGCCTTGTTGTTGAAGTGGTAACTGTTACCGGTACTGATAGATGTTGCCATTATCCACGGTCAGAGAACAGACTGCGGTCTGTTCAATTGATATTCCCCTGAAACATCCCCGGAATTCTGGGAATCCCACCATCGCAAATTGAAATTTATTTAGCGCCAATTCTCTAAATGCGCGCCGGCGAGGTGCGTTGAGTGCAAGCAAGCGAAGGATCATCGCTCAATTTGCACTCACAAATTGTTGCGGTCTACCACCGACAGAGCGTTTCCATATTTCACCTTGCATCAAGAGGCAATGAACAGTGACGAATTATCTAGTGAGCGAAGGGACTGTCCTCCTTCTGACTTTCAAAGGGATGCGCTTCCTCCGGCGGAAATGGATCATGTAATGAACATTCATGACCCAATCAATATCAAGCCTCGGTCAGCTCCGTATCAGCATCATTCTCATGGGCAGTACTCGTATCCTCCTCCACACTATCAGTACCCGGGATCTAGACATCCAATCCAATCTGTGGTAACCACTTCGTTCAGCACTGATGAACAGGATCGTGAAGATCGATCTGCATTTCGCCCGCCTTATCTTCCTGCTCCACGCAACTCATATGCTGACTATCCTCCGCATGATGGCCGCTACTTTGAACGAACCGCATCGACAGATGCAGGAGCCCCCTACCAATATCGCCCTTTTGAGGGTCACAACATTGACAGCGAACAGATGCACTATGCAAGGGAACTTCCTCCTATCCAAGAAGCCGATGTGGAACTTCGTACTCCACCACAAGAAGTCATTGTCCCAAGAAGCAGTATGCGGGTTCCTCCAAGTCCACGAGAGCAGCCTCCTCCTCCTTTCGGAGCTCGTCCAGAGGGAATTCCGCCTGCGTCGAGCTTCCACAGCGATGGTCCGTTGAAGAGAAGCTTTTGGCACCACGCCAGACCGACTGATGAATATCATCAAGGACCGTCGATTCCGAACGAATTCATGCCTCCCAAAAGGGCTAAAGTCGGAACGAGTGGCGGCGGAAGACGAGAACTTCTGCTTGCCCCAAGCAGAACTTTTTCGCAAGAATTCACGGATATGCCAGCTTCGGCTGAACGGGACACAAGATCAAGAGGTCACGGCGGTTGGTTCAACCGAGGAATGTCATGGGACACTCGGGATGACCACTACAGCCGAAAGGGAAATGGAAGTGAAATCTACCCAAGTCACTCATGGAACAGAAGTCCACAAAGAGAGGGAAACATGATGCAACATTGGGACACTCCATTTGCTCTATCTCCAAGAAACAGATATCCAACGGGAGAGGGTGGACGATACGAGCTTGCTCAAGGACACTCGTGGAGCCCTAAATGGCATCAACATGACGATCAGCGTTGGGGCATGCCTCAAAATAGGGATGATACTGAGGCTATGCACTTCGGTCCTCCCATGGAAGAACGAGAGGCATACGAGCGTTTCCGCCGCCAAGGAACCTTCGACTCGCGATCAGAGCCCGAACCGCCCGTGCGATACATCAACGCTCCAGCAATGCCAACTCACGCATCGCCAAACTACCCATCCACTCCTTTGTCTCATCGCATTGCTCCTCCAAAAATGGGCGATGCACCCTTTCTCGGTGCCACTTCTGATATGCAACCAGTTTCATCATCACAAACGAAGGGACCGATTCGTCTTCTCGCGCTTTCGGGAGATAGAGTAACACTCAGCGAAACTCTTTGCTTGGTTCGCGAGGTATGTACTGCAAGAAACGATTCAACCTCTTGCGCAATTATTTGAAACATTCAACTCACACTTGCTTTCAACAGAACATTGAAGTTTTCACAGCAACAAAGGAAGATGTCGATGCTCCAGCTCCAGGACGAAAACAGGCTATCGTGGTTGGGCAAGTAGGTTTGCGGTGTATCCATTGTAGACATACCACTAAGTCCAGCGAACGAGTGAAGAGAGCCGTCTGCTACCCATCTTCCATCAAGCGCATTTACCGTTCAGTCATTGACATGAAACTTGATCACTTCTTGCATTGCAAGTTTGTCCCTGTTTCTTTGAAGGATAGGCTCATTGCACTCAAGGCAAACAACACACGAAGTACTGGAACAACAATGCAATACTTCATCAAGGCCGCTTCATCATTGGGAATGGTTGACGCTAGCTCTGGTGTTAGGCTGACGGAGATTGCCCCAGGTCTTTCACCCCCTCCTCCACCATCCAGTTCGGAAAATGCCAAACATGGCAGTCCAAGAATGGAGACAGAAAAGGATAAAAGAGCTCTAATTGCACCAATGAGCCCACTGAGTCCACCTCAAATCGACCGAAACAACTCTTTGTCGTCTGAAGGGACTGAAAGCGCTGGAACCGTCTTGGGTGAAGACGACTTGCCAGAGGCATTCACAGGATGTGTTTCGCTAGCAATACCAGAGGACGAAAAAGCTTTGAGCCCACTTCGTTGCTTCCTTCGAGAGCAAGTTTGCGCCTTTTCTGCCACAGAAGAGGATATCGCGGTCCGCACACCAACAACGTTCTCCGTCTCGGTTGGTCAAGTTGGAGTTGCATGTAAACACTGTTTGAAAGAACCAGCAAAGTCCAGATTGAATCGAGCAGTATGCTTTCCCTCTTCTGTTACAAGGATTTACCAATCTGTTGCTGATATTCAGCGCTACCATCTTGGTGAATGCAAAATGGTTCCAGCCGACATCAAGGAACAGTTTGCAGAGCTCCAGCAAGCAAGTTCGAAGGGATCGAAAGGCCTGGCAACGAGACAGTACTGGATCAACTCCGCCAAAAGAATTGGGTTGGTCGATACGACCAAGGGAATCAGGTTCGGACGGGATCCTTCCCAACCAGCAGAGAAGGCATTCTCGTTGGACATTCTTGCGCAAGTGGCTTCGCATGTTACTACTGTGAATCGCCCAATTGTGCTACCCGAGGACCAACCAAGCATCGCCGAGTTCATTTACGTCGTTATGCAACAATTGCAACCTTGCCGATTCACGGAGGCTGATCGCAACAAGAGACGCTTGAAGGATGTTGGGTGCATTGGGGTTGAATGCAAACACTGCGCAGGCAAGGTTGACAGCCGAAAGTTCTTTTGGTCTAGTGTCAACGCAGTTGAATCAAACTTTGTTTCAGTCCACACTCATATGGGGGAATGCAAACATGTGCCCGAAGAACTGAAAGAGAAACTTGCTAATCTGAAGAAGCTTCGAAAGGAGCAAACATCTGCACTGAAGACTGGATCTCAGAAAGCATTCTTCTCACGAATCTGGGAGCGACTCCATAAGGAAGAACAGAAGGCTGAAGAAGCTGAGAAGAAGGCTGAAGACGTCGTCGACATGGGATCCAATGATGTCGAGATGAAGTCTGACCACGACAATAAAATGCTGGAAGACGAGGAGGAGAAGCCACAAGGTGACTCAGCTGACGCCGTTGCAAGCAAAAGTGCACTCTCTCTGCACAGCGAATCAGAAACAGCACCACTCTCTCCAATCCCTCAGTCGAAGGAGACCGGTGGTATTGATGCACTGAAGACACCACCCTTGGTTTCGCCATCGACTGACAAGTTGAAGGATCAGATGTCAATGGTTACTGTCTAGGAGAATATATCAAAACAATATTGATGGGGATGTACGTGGGAGCTGAAATCTGTCACTGTAAACATAGCAGTATAAAATAGAACAAAGAACATTAGGTCACATTGTTGAGCTTCTTACACGAGAGTAGTTGGTATTGTCCTCGAAAGAAGTTGCCCAATTCTTTACATCTAGCAGCAACACACATGCATCGAGGACTTGAAATGAGTACACAGCACCAAATATCTATTAAAGTAGTTAATGCTTGGCACTGCGTTTTGAAAAATGAATAGTTGCCCCTGATCACCATATCATAAGCCGAACCCAATGGAACAATAGCCTATCCCATGGCAAAGTTCAAGTTTTCTGGTGGATGGTATTCATTGCGGGTGAACACACCCGACATACGCATCGTTGAAGGACGGCTTTCCATCCAAAGCCTCTTGATAACTTCTTGATCGACGAATGGCGTACAATCCGATCCAGGAGGCAATTCCTCGTGTTCAATGTGTACGGTATGCTGGCGGATGTGTTCTTGCACAGCTATTCGAACTGCCTCTAAAACTGCCATTTCTGCAGCCCTATTATCCTGGAACCTGGACTGTATTCTATTTTGTTGACTGCCATTCTGATTCTGAATATCATCGGATGTTACTGTAACATTGGGAAAAGTTCTCCAGAAGAATGCGTGAGGAGTCAGTGGTCTTGTCTTATCCTCGTCCAAAGCTGTAAATGTTGAAGCCGATTCCATCGTAGCTGTCTCTGAGACAATACCATCATCCCGGTGAGCTTGATTTTGTGACGGCCGAACCAAAGTTCTTGTTCTCCCTCTTTCTGGTGTCTGGATAGACGTACTGACTGCAGTACTACCACCGTTAAGCACGCTTTCATTGGTATCATCTCGGGTTTTCTTTTCTTCCACAAGCGTCTCTCCCAATAGAGAGGAAGCTTCTGATGCAGTGCGGACCAATTTAACTTTCATTCTTGGAATCTCTAGCATCTTCCTGGCATCCTCATTGGACGGTATTTGCGCCGATCTTGCACCCTCGCCTTCTTCCTCCTCCTCGTCGTCATCGATTGGTGATTCTACCGGCGAAATGAAATCTCCTAAAGAACCGGTAGAGTGCATCTTTTGTCCGGCAGGAGTGTTGTAGTATTTCGAGCAGAATGCATCCAGATTCAGATTGGAGGCGTTTGGTGATGCTGGATGCATAGGTGGTCGATTAGGATCACGATTTGACATTGGAGCCGTATCATTGGTGTCTTGGGTATCCTCTGACATTATTCGCGAAACAATTTGTGGGACAAAATTAACTGCCCTTTCTTGGGAAGAACCATCCATTGGTACATCTTCCACCACTCCAGCTGGGCTCATTTGTTTTGGTCCATGTCGAGCATTGGAATCTCCTATTTCTTTCGTCAATGGAGAAGATGGCTTCGATCGAAACGGATTCGCCAAGATCCCGTTCTTTTCGCAAGCAAACTCGGTCCATTCCGAATCTGCAGAATTAGCTTGATCACCAAATCCAAAGCTGTTGCTCAACGGATTGGCTGTTTCTGACACCTGATTTGATGTCCTGAATCCTGAAGCAACATTCGATCCCTCGGAAATCGCTTGACTTCTTTTTCGATCCATTGTGTTTCGGATCAGTCTCTAAACAGAAATTGCTGAGCGTTGGTTCCGATGTTTCGACAGTAAATCATGGAGGTGCGTGCCGTCAATAACAACAACGGATCAGGAAGAGATTTTGCTCGCTATATTTGCATCTTTGGAGGCAAGCGAGCAAGCCGACTCAACTTACACTCCTTTTAGCGCGCTTGCCAAAACCACATGAACCACGATGGTGCACCGATTGCCAGGAACTGGTACCATCACAGCAATACTTCTATTGTCGTCTTACCAACAGTGATAAATTAAACAAACATTATATGTTTAGTAGCAATTCGGTCTTTTGCTTGTTACTAGAAAGAAGTTTCTTTGTGGGGCTTACTAAAACTACTCGTAGTAGTAGAAATTTGGACCTACTCTTTTGAAGAATGGAACGTTTTAAAAATTCAACAGAATAGAGCTCCTTAATTAGCAGATAAATTATACTAAAGATGATATCAGTTCACCGAAATGAAGCGATGGCATATGATGGGTGTCTTGTGTTGCAGATCAAAGCTATTGTTCATTGTATAATTTCTATGGTCAAATTGTGAAAGTGAATAGCACGAAGTAGCTTGGGTAGCTCAGCTGGTTAGAGCGTGGGTCTAATAAACCCAAGGTCGTGGGTTCGAGCCCCACTCCGAGTACACTTTTGTTTTCCCTAATAGCTTGCAGCTTATAGTGTTGATGCTTTGTACCGGTAGGTACACGTACACGTGTACCTGGTACTCGTTGGGCGGTGCTCGTACCGTAATACTACGTACCTTGTGGCGGAGGCTGTTTCATTTTCTATTCATTCATGCCAAATTCTCAGTTTCTGAAGAGTGTTCTTTTTTAACCCCTGCTGTCCAATAAAAACCTACGATACCATATATGAAATATTATACTCTAATCGTAAATTATTTGAGCAAAAAGCGCGGTTATTCCATGGGAACAAAGGCCGTACACATGCAACATTTGAATAAAAAATAAGCTGTTCACCACCTCTACCAAAAAAGATATTCGTCACTTCTCTCTCGAGTAAAAAGCGCGGTTCCCTGTGGTGGCACATATAGTTTAATCGAGCGCTAAATTATCCGCAGTGCAAGACGGAACAAAGGCCATGAATGTCGAAGAGTTATACACGCAAAAGGCCTGAAAGTCACCATTAATTCAAATTTGTATCAAAGCTGACGACGAAGCCTTCTCTGGCTCTCCGTTTAGAGCTTTGTGAAGACCGGCTACATTCTATTCGTATTCGTAATCGTTTTCGTTGTATGTTTGTTCCAAACCTGCTCACAATTCAGACATCATGAGCAATTACAAGGACAACCTCATCAAGAAGATCGGTGGACAAAATCAATATGATTTTGCAATCATCAAATATTGCGAAAGCATTCAAAACGATCCACGGGTCATTTTCTTTTTCGACAATCTAAGCATATCCGATTTGATTGACCTGCAGAAGCGATTGTTGGACGTGGCATTCCTGGATCTATCTCCTAGCGGATCCGAAGTCATGATGAATACCGCGGCCCTGCAATGCCACATGCTTTGGCGAATGGGCTTGAACGAAAGATACTTCGAAGTTATGAAAGGGCATTTCATCGAAGCTCTTCGAGACTGTTGGGTAGAAGAGAGCGTCGTTCAAACCTTCGAAAGGCACTATGAAAGACTGCGTCCAATGTTCCAACAAAATGATAAGATTATGCTTGATGCCGAAATTCGTGAACAGTCTCCTGCTGGCCGAATTCAAATTACACTTCTTCAAGAGCCGACACGATATCACGCCGGAAGGATGCGAGAACTTCAAGAGTTGCGCCGCTTTGACTTTCCTGGAAGTAGGACAGTGATAACCGGAACAGGTCAGAACTGAGCGGCCCTCTGGCCAAGATGGTTATTGATCACATGTACAGGTTGTTGATGAAAACCAAATCGACTGGACAATTTTGAATAATGCATTGTATAATATCAACTAGCTGAAAAAAGTTACTGCTTTACATTGATTTCCATGTATTTCCAGCAGCATTGCGTTACCAAGCCTTGTCTTCGGACTTTCCTCCTGCTTCTTTCGCTGCTCGCTCCTCTTGAAGTGCCTCGTGTCGAGATCGTCGGGCACGATTCAATCGGTACTTGCTTGACATTTCGCTCAATGCCAAATCTGCCATTCGATCACTTTCCATCTCAACAAAAGCAAATGTTGTGTTGGTTGGAACGATACAAGTGACTCCGCGTGCACCACCATACTTTCGGAATGCTCGCTCCAATTCTGCCCGACGAATGTCCACTTCTGTTTGAGTCGAGATCTTTGATAGTCCACTGACGAATAATTTTCGCTGCAAAAGTAGGAAGAATATACAACAGTGTTAGCGGCGTAAGGCTTGTGTATGCCTGGGACAACATAGAAACTACGCACCGGATGGACAGCATTGAAGCTGTTGACACCGGCAACGTCTGACAAATCTCCCTTGGCCATAACTGGTTGGTTACCCCACCATGCTCGATAGACCATCCAATTCTCCGGACCTATAAAGGGGGAAGATAAAAAGTCAATACCACACTGTCGATGAATAAAATAAACAACAGCCCACAAACCTCGCAAACGTACTTCCATAGTCATCGCATGACGGAAATTGCAAAAACAGCGAACACGGTTTGGAGGGAAGCTCCTTCCTATGCTCAAGCCGAACACAGTGCTTGTCTTGCATGAAGACGTCAAACCCATCACCATTGATCTGAATTTGCAGCGTAATGGCTTCTTGTCCGAATATTAATGGAACCTGAGACAAGGGAAGGGCGATCGACTGTCCCCAAATACCCTCCTGCTTGTCGTTCACAACCAATTGCCCGCCTCTTTCAAACTGCCGAGGATTAAAGTGAAATAGTACACTGTTGAAATCGTCGTGACCTGGACCTGCAATATTGATACTACAAGAGGAAGAAATGATATTCTTCTGTTAGATGTGGCTGCAATGCAATAGATGTTGAATCAATCGTGCAATCTCTCGTGGACGAATACAAACCTGAAGCGCTTGGAATCATTCGGAGCATGAAACTTGATCACAATCGTATTATTACCGGTTCCATTCTGAGCTTTTGTAATATCGAACTCCGGCAATTCCACCAAAAAGGCTCCAACGTTTGGACTCCCAACTCCTTCCGGAGGCGTCCACTGCGTCTCGTCTGGAGTGGCCGGGAACAGAGTTTTTCCTTTCCATGGCTTGATATTGAGCCTCTCTGAGAATTCGTGAGGAGGTGTGTCGATTTTCATGTTACTGAGCAATCCGCCTTCGGAAGTGGTATCTTCTAGTTTCTTGCGTTTCAACGATGGCCCCGTAGATATGTCTGTCTCTTTTGTCTCCAAGTGGCTCTTTCGTAGCGTTTCCTGCTTGACTGCGTCTGCAACCATGGCCTTCTTTGCCTCGTCGACCTCATCACGTAAAGCATCAAGTTTTGCAGTTCGTCGATCATGCAGCGTCTGCTCGTCTTGCTCTTCGTCAGAACTGTAGTCTTCTTCAGCGGAACTGCCATCGCTAACGTCATCACCGCTTGCTGCTGGCACATTCTCTCTCTTCCTCCGTCGTTTCTTTTGTTTACTAGCTTGACTCTGTTTGAATTCAGTTTCTTTCGCTGCAAGCTTTTCTCTTGCCTTTTGCTCCTTGAGTCTTGCTGCCTGTCGTTCAAACTGCCGAATGGTCTGATACATGTTGACGAGTGCTTCCTCTTCTTTCGTTGGTTTGAAATCTTCAGGCAATTCCAACAAGTGAAATTTGGCTTGGTTTGCAGCAGAGGCATTTTTCCATGAACTTGCCGCTTTTGAATCAACACGTTCACCAGCCATGATGTGTTGTTGATTCGTTCGAATATCTTTTAATAGGTGTAGATTCTCTGTCGAGTGCGTCGTGGCTATTGAAATTGTCTCCAAAAGTATAACAGTAATATTACGGCAATAATGAACTCGATCTTCCCACGCAAGATTGTTTTGTTGTAAGGGTGCGGTACCAGTAGGTTATGTGGTCTCCAAAAGTATAACAGTAATATTACGGCAATAATGAACTCGACCTTCCCGCGCAAGATTGTATTGTTGTAAGGGTGCGGTACCAGTAGGTTATGTGCAAATCGAAATCAGTGGTACAAAAGGAATGCCTCGACTGTGAATCGAACACAGGGCCTTCAGATCTTCAGTCTGACGCTCTCCCAACTGAGCTATCGAGGCACTGGCATAGAAGAGCGAAATTTGACAATTCATAATCTGGTAGGTTGAGATGTTCTTCTGGATCTTGCATTTGTGTGGGAGCCAGAGTTTGCCAGATAAGTTTTCATCCAAATGGAATAGCAAGGGCGCAGACAACTCACTGACCGTGTTGATTGCGGCGCGTCGCTTCAGTGAAGTACACGGTTGACGGACGGAGCAAAGAGTGTTGACGAAGAGGGCGGAAGATTTGGAGAAGACATTGTTCGCAATGGGAGCTTGTGGGATGATAGAGACAACAGAAGGAGCTTAGCTGCTCGGTCAAGACCGTCAGCTTTTTTGCTTTTCCCGCCCTCACCACCCTCTCTCTCATTTGCACCATAGCTCGGTACCCCATTTGGTCCGGGTTTGTTTGTCAATCCTTTTGATTGTCCTTTTTGAATCCTATGATTCGACCTCGGTGCAAACCAGTCACTAACTTAGTACCTCGCTACTGTGCCAAACCTACTCGCTTCTTGTATCTAGCATTAGGCTTTTGCCACAGTTTCCATGGCAGCATCCGTGTGCGATTTCTCCAGACAAAGACTACATCATGCGATCCAAGCCCAGGAGTGCAGGCGGCGCCGGGTAATCTTCGATTAGTACCAGGCAGCAGTACTGCCGATGATTGGTGATTCAACATCAAAACGGATAACATACATGTGCAATCATTCACAACCACAATTTAGATAATACCATGTTACACTTTGCAAAGTGTCACTTGAAAATGCCTTGTTATCATTATAAAATCTCTATATGATATTTTTATGAGGGTGATGATTCCCAATTCGGCCAGCCTCTTCTGCATATTTCCCAGTTTTGCTTCAGCTTTTCCAGTACTACAACAATTTTAGCCCAATGATTTATTGCAGCTTTGCAGCCTTGGATAGTAGATAGAATGCTTTGCAGATTTTCCTTTGTTAAAAATATCATTGCGAGTTCACTTCCTTGATGCCTTTCCGCCATGCATAGCCGACGCGCGGACTTTAGTGGCTTGATACTGATTGCCTCCAGGTTTCGGGTGTTGTTTACCAATGATTCACTTTCTTGATGCCTTTCCGCCATGCATAGCCAACGCGCGGACTTTAGTGGCTTGGTCCTGATTGCCTCCAGGTTCCAGGTGTTGTTCACCAATGATTGGGTAAGTGGGCAAAAAACATAGCCAACGCGCGGACTTTAGTGGCTTGATACTGATTGCCTAGCCAACGCGCGGACTTTAGTGGCTTGATACTGATTGCCTCTAGGTTCCGGGTGTTGTTTACCAATGATTCACTTTCTTGATGCCTTTCCGCCATGCATAGCCAACGCGCGGACTTTAGTGGCTTGGTCCTGATTGCCTCCAGGTTCCAGGTGTTGTTAACCAATGATTGGGTAAGTGGGCAAAAATCAAACACATACTCGGAGTGGGGCTCGAACCCACGACCTTGGGTTTATTAGACCCACGCTCTAACCAGCTGAGCTACCCAAGCACGCTGGGAAGCACTGTAAAAAAAGGGTTTACAAAATGAATAAACGTAAATGACTGTCAAAGTTCTCGTGTACGGTACAGTGTCATTACTACAAAACACGTTGGACTCAGTATGACTCCACGGGAGTCTACAGTATGTGGTCATCGCAGGCCCAAGGAAAAGAATACCACGAAAGTCACGCCCAATAATAAAATTTCAAAAAGTCATGTGGCAAAAGAACGTCCGACACGTCCATCAAATCTGGGACATGCCGAAAAAATCTGTAAATGATTTTTTTGGTCAAAAATGGCACTCCTTCCAGAAGGAGAAAAGCGAGCCATTGTCCTTCCGCCAGTGCGAGAAATTGCAAAAGGCCTCAAATGTCTGTAGATGGTCGTGTAAACTCAGGAAAAACCTGTAGATAGTCGTGAAAATCGAAAATTCTCTGTAGACAATCGTGATTGTGAACCAATAAATGTTACTTAACAAAACCACGACCATCTACAGAGAATCTTCGATCTTCACGATTATCTACAGGTTTTTTCTGAATTTTCACGACCATCTACAGGTATTTGAGGCCTATTTCAATTAACGCGCCATCGAATTCTACTTAACAATAGTCGCGTAGAACAAGAAGTTCTCTGTAGATGATCGTGAAGACAAAAAGTTCTCTGTAGATGGTCGTGAAAATTCAAAAGTCTCTGTAGATAATCGTGGAATCGAAGCGATAAGTATTACTTAACAAGTTCCACGATCATCTACAGAGACTTTTGAATTCTCACGACCATCTACAGAGAACTTTCTGTCTTCACGATCATCTACAGGGATTTATCATTTAACGCGCCACCACCGTCTATATAACAAAAGTCTGTAGATGATCGTGAAGATTCAAAGTTCTCTGTAGATGATCGTGAAAACTCAAAAGTCTCTGTAGATAATCGTGGAATTGAACCGATAAGTATTACTTAACAAATTTCACGATCATCTACAGAGAACTTTGAATCTTCACGATCATCTACAGATAATTTTCAATTAACATGCTACATCAATTTGTCGTATTCATAAAGTAATGGAGATGTAAATTCTGAATTTCTTTAAATGATCATTAAAACTCGAAACTCTCTGTTTGAGGTCTATAACTACTGCAAGCGCAACCATGTACAGGGGGTGGGACCTCTTCAAGCGCAACCGTGTGATTGATGGGACCTCTGCAAGTGCAACCGCCCTGTTTATTGACAACAACTTTGGCTCGCGATCAAAATATACTTAGACGATTGAATAAAACCTTTCAGTCAAAACCGCGGGACCGCTTTTCAGAACAAGATATTTTTGATATTTAGAAAGAGAAAAAAATAATAAACAAATTGCATTTTTCTATTTAAGGTCTTTTTTAGGCCTGTTCCATCGACGAACGGACCGCCAAGTGAAACCTTTAGGCCTGTTCCCGTCGACGAGCGGACCGCCAAGTGAAACACATATCTTCCTGCGGCAGGGGGTGCTTTGGTCGGGAAAAAATGAAATCTACAGATTTTTTCGGGATGTCCCTGACTGATTCAAACAGAAAAACTCCAACGACATTTCCAACAGATCAGGAGCATAAAACAGACGGCAATTGGAGTTCTCACAGCACACTGCCAATTGAAAATGTCCATCTCAAAGATCACCTTCCTCTGTGTACTCTTGATTGCTGTCTTCTCGTCAAGGAGTGCTTTAGCATTTACTGGAAACCAATGTTTGAAGTCTAATCGTGATTCGTTGAGCAGAGTTTCTTCTCGAGGGAGAAGTTTTGAAGCCAGCAAAACTTTGGCGATAGTCCATAACAAGGATTATTATACCGGTCACTATCACTACCATGCCCCAATTCACACTCTGGTTCAGACCGAAGCTGCCACTAGAGAGAAAAACTTTGTTTCGAGAATGATTCCTTCACAGCTATCCAATTTGTTTCACTTCGACAAGTCCAAGGCTGCCTCGATGGGAGTTGCCTTCGCAATGACCTACAATTTCATCAGCAATATCAATGGCTCGATAACGTTATCGACCGCATGGTACATTGCATCTGCACGAGTAAGTAATTATTATTGTTACACCAATGAATGGAACACATTGAATTCCACCTTTTGCTAACCATTTGGGATTTCCTTTTTTTTTACGACTACAGACTGGACTCTCCCCACTTGTGGCTGGTCAATGGAAGTCACTCATGTCTGCCTATGGTAGTCTATATCTCTTGGTCACCATCATGAGACCCCTGCGATTTGCCATGGCACTATCGCTCACCAAACATACCGAACGATTGATTGAGGAAACTCAATCTAGGTTGGGATGCGCTCGACCTATTGCCGTTGGCGTAGATGTCGTCATGGGACTTGTTCTGTGGCTTAGTACAATGGCAGGAGGCGTCTTGACTGCTAGTGCGCTATCTGGTGTTCCCGTCTTGTAACTACTGTACAAAACAAAGCATAAGCTGCCGACCTTATACGGTCAGGCGCTTGATGGGCCACAATTTTATAGCTAGGCAAGCTGCAAACAAACAAAACAAACACTTTGAGAGCGCTCTCCAGAACATTCATGCATAATGTATTTCCAATTTGAAATGCAACGAATATTGTTATATAGAGGATTATACAACAAATGTAAAATACACAAAAAGAGGATATAAATAAATCCCATGTTATGATGTAATAGCCTTGTGTATGTTGTTCAAGAACAAAGTAACTAGCTAACTAGCCAGGATCAGATAATCGGCAAGACTGACCACTGCCATAAAGAGAGCACTGTCTCGCATCAATTCTTTTCGCTCTCGTCCCTTTCCTTGCAGGACCCATAAGTCTTCTCGATAACTCTTGAGAATTTCAGTTCCGATCCTATCCAAATGAGTAAAGTGTTCTCGTTGGACTTCTCGGAATTCGGGCAAGGAAATCTTGGGACTCAGTTCAACGTATCGCTTGCGGTCACTCCATCCCGACTCCACCATGATGGATTCGAGTTTGTTGTCTTGATGAGCCTTTTCAGCCCAAGCATAGATACATCGCAATCGATGTGGCATTTCGACTTCATCTTCAAAGGTTTTCTGAACGGCTTTGTCAAACATTTTGATGAGCTGTTTTTTCATGTTGGCCTCGCGTCGTCTTTGTCGCCACCCCTTTTGCGGTGGCGATGGTTTTGCGTCGCCGTCACTTGCTTCCAAGGCCGCTGCCGCCAAGTCAGCCTCTGTCGCTGGTTCTTCATTCAATGCCAATTCAAAGAGTCGTGGCAATGCCAACTGCACTGGAGCTAAACACAGTTCTGCTACAAGAGTAATTTCAGATTCGTCCAATAGACCATCATCATCCTTATCAATAAAGTCCCATGCCGCATCCACTCGTTCCGAACAACTTCCTGACAAGTGTGCAAACAAGTACTTGTACACCTTGGCGGTGGGCAGTGTCCTGGCTTGTGGCTCTACAGATATTCCCTGGGTGGCTGCCCGATCCACGTCTCCGTCCGACACCGTCGTACAAGCATCCCAGGAGGCCAAAAAGTGTTCCATGGCGGCTTCCATCAATTGAAATCTCAACAACAAAACGGCCTGCGAAAAGGGTTCGTCCTGGACTTGCAGCAAAGGTTCCGATGTATGTTTTTCCAATTCGTCTTGTTCTTCAATCGAGGTCGGATCTAGATAGTCTCTGACATCTTTAAGGCAGTTAGATGTCGATGATATATGGCTGTTCTTCATGGTATCAATGTGTTCTTTGACAATTGCCAAATGAGCTTCCCACTTGTCCTTGTCCATTCCTTCGGGCATTTTGGCCTGTTGTTCCACCAACCATTCCGAACATTCTGCAATGACTGGGGTAGTAATATCCGTGGTAGAATCAATCGTCTTGGAAATGAGTTGCAAACCATCTACGAGGTACAAATCTTGCAATTGACTTTCGGTAGCGGCATCGTCCAAGCTTTCCATACCGTCCTTGAGTTCCGTTCGCAGTTCGTTCAACTTGTCGCGTTTGGCCGAGGTGGGAGCCCAAATGCCTCCGGCTGTGGTGACATCCTTGGCGGTAGGAATTCGACTCTCACCCTGCTGTTGGGGTGATGATGGAGCACTGGGAGCCATGGGACTGAATCCCATTAATTTGTCAGAAAAGGCGCGTCTCGCCAGATTCAGCTGTGGTGGTGGTGCATGTCGAGGAGATTGCCGCAAAAGCAGGGACCGTGCCACTGTTTTGGACAGTCTTCTCGGAAGCATTGTTTATTGCGTGTGGATGATCTAATGAATGAATAAAATAGAAATTTAAAAGGGAGAATAGTTTGGTGGGAGCTTCTTCAAGAGTTGAGGAGTGAGTCGTCAGTTATGCTGAGGTTGAAAATGGTGATGTTTCGATTTTGGATGATGTCGATACGAGTGGAGGACGGACGTGGGTTTGAGTCACGAGTGGGACTCGGCATTGGTTCGCGCTCAAAATTTTCTTTGCACACCTCAACAACCAATACAACAACAACTATTGAAATATCACCATACTCACCTCATTCAAACTATTTGCCACCCAATGACTCAACTCATTAGCAGCAATAGAAGTAACCAAGACCAAAGATGAGGCCAAACGGCACAACAATAGAGGCAGAAAACGCTGTATGGACGGCCGAAAAGCTCCAACGAGCCAACTACAAAGATTTGGGCAGCCCCAGTGAAGTCGAAAATCGGTTCTTGCAGCACCTATTGTCGCCTCAGAACTCGTGTCGTGCCGCTATTACTGTCTTGTTGACGGCACAGAGTACCACCACCCGAGATTTCTCCCTTGAGATTGATGCTTTTGAACTCTTGCTGGCGGATTGCGTTTTGGGACAAATGTTGCTCAAGTATCCTTCCACACTTCTGCGAATTTTGGAAAATTCCATAGTGAGGGCCCAAAAAGTATTAAAGGCAGAACACGAGCAGCAAGAACTTGACAATGATAGCGATGACGACAATTCTGTGGAAAACAATTCCAGCCGACCCATGTCGGTCAAGGGTGACCAGCAATCCTCGGGGGCTCAGTCCACTCGGGTACACGCACGACTGGTGCACTTGCCACCCACCATTACCCGCAATTCGGTCGCTTCCATGACGGCCAAAGACGTGGGCAAGATTGTGCAACTGTCGGGAACCGTCGTGAGAACTTCCTCGGTCCAAATGTACGAATCCGCCCGAAAGTACAAATGTACCGGCAAGGATGGTTGCGGCCAAACCTTTATGCAAAATGCCGATTTGGAACAACGGACCAATGCCATGGCCAAGCCGGATCGGTGTCCTCTTATACTAGACAATTGTGGACAGCGATGCAAAGGTACCAATTTGCAACATCAAAAGGATGGATCCATTCACACGGATTATCAAGAAATCAAAATTCAAGAGGCTGCCAGTAAAATTGGAATTGGACACATTCCACGAAGCCTCATGGTCAAGCTTCAACACGATTTGGTGGATTCGTGTCAACCGGGGGACGAAGTGCAATTGGTCGGTTCCCTCATTGCGCAATGGCACCAGTCGAGTCAGCAACCGGGGATTGAATCCAATGTTGGCATGGCATTGGACGCCCATTCCATCCGAGTCGTTCAAGAAAATTCTTCCTCGGCTTGGAAACAATCAGGGGATCCCAGTAATAGTAACACCAACCCGTCGGCCGAAATGGAAAAATTCAAAAAGGAATTTGATGCCTTTTGGCAACATCCATTGCATCAATCGAAACCAATTGCGGCACGGGACTTTATATGCAAGGCGGTCTGTCCCAAATTGTACGGATTGCACATTATCAAGCTGGGATTGCTGATTACATTAATTGGTGGAGTCCAAGGAACGGAAACCAGCAATAGCCATGATCGACAGCAACAAGAGAGGACTACTGACTTTGCACAACAACACTTTGAAGGAGGAGAACAAGGAGGAGAACAAGAGCAAGATCGAGAAGATGTCTATCTCGATGGTGCACCCCAACCCTTTCAAATGAACTTTAATGATCGTGGCTCCAATAGTACTAGTAATATCAACTATGGCGGCGGTGGTGGTACAAACAATCAAAGCCAACAACAACAACGAAAGAAACGAAAACAAGAGACTGCGGTAGAGATTAGACGACGAGACATGTCGCACATTCTCATTGTGGGGGATCCAGGAACTGGCAAGGTATGTATTTGTGGTAAACGTAGCTTTTCTTTTTGTGTGGATGCTTGCAAGACAAGTCTAACACTTGCGGCTCTCTAGTCCCAAATATTACGGTTTGCAGCAGCACTTTGTCCTCGATCCGTCCTGACTACGGGTGTGGGTACCAGTGCTGCTGGTCTCACTTGTGCAGCAGTCCGAGATGGGGCCGACAAGGAATTTGCACTGGAGGCTGGTGCTTTGGTGCTCGCAGACAAGGGGATTTGTTGCATTGACGAGTTTGGCTGCATCCGCAGTGAAGATCGAACTACCATTCACGAGGCAATGGAACAACAAACATTGTCCGTGGCCAAGGCGGGAATTGTGTGCAAACTAAATTGTCGGGCTACCATTATTGCCGTCATGAATCCAAAGGATTGTATCTATGATAATCATTCGTCCTTGTCCAACAATACGGGGCTGGGGACGCCACTCTTGTCTCGGTTTGATCTCATTTTCAAATTGGTGGATACTTCCGATGCGGAACGAGACAGCAATGTGACTACCTATCTATTGAACCGAGCGATTCAGGTAAGCTTCAGGACTGCAATTAGTACGCTGGTGGGTTGTAAAAAGCAGCTGTTGTCTCACTTGAAATGAAACATTCGTAGGGTACTGGGTTAGATGTCACAAACGCCAAGGACGGAAGTGAAATTGAGGAGGCACCATGGCAAATGGAAAAGCTCCGGGCATACATTTCCATTGTCAAGGAACGCTTTGAGCCAATCATCAGTGACGATGCTGCCATTTTGTTGGAGAGACACTACGAAAAAGTGCGGTCGGCCCAAAGCTCTGTGATTCCCGTGACGGTTCGATTTCTCGAGTCGTTGATTCGTTTGACACAAGCCCATGCACGGCTCATGCATCGAAATGAAGCGATTCTGCAAGATGCCGTAGCCGTCTTGCGAGTGATGGAATGCACGGCGTATGCCTATGGTGGCTTTGACGGCAATGTATCAGGTAAGCAGGCAAAAGAAAGATGGAGTGATGTCTGTTCAACTTCGTCTTGGGCGGTGATTCTCACTCATTGTTTACCTATTTGCAGATTCCGAAAATGTCATGTATTGTGATCCAATGTACATGGACGAATCAGATCGGCAACCAGACGAAGACTTTCTTTGCTTTGAGTATTTGATATTGAAACGATATGACATGCTGCACCACACAACGGACGAACGGCGAAAAAAGGCAGAAGATCTATTGTATCCACCAGACGATGGTTTTGCCGAAACATCAGGAGTAGGAATGGAAAGTTGGCTTGGTATTGAGCATCCTCGAGAGAGGCAAGTGGAACGAAGCACTGTTCAGCACGATCACTACGGCCGAGATTACATTTTTCCCGACAAATCACAGCGCACACCACGGAAAAGAAGCCGGAACCAGTGACGGTAGATACTTTACTGCAGTTGTAACGTTACAAATCGATAGACTAGCGTTATTGGGACAAACAAATATAAAAGTACTAGTGCACTTTCCAGAGTAGAAAACTCGCACCATTGGTTTTGGGACTATAATAGTCCAGTCGTCCAATCAAAACCAATGCTCAAAATCGATGGCAATATAACCGCAACCTTTCTCAATCATCGTGCCTCCAATTCTATGTCCCTGTAGTTCCAGTAGCTTTTTAAAAACGTGACCATCATCATGACAAAGGAAGCGACTCCACTATGGATAACGCCACTATTGAATTACAAGCAGCCAGAGGTTACAGTCGGCCACTACGAAGTCGTTCAAAGGGTTGTGATGCCGTCGCCACATCCCAACAAGAAAGAAGCAGAAATTGAAACTTCGGTCGAAAACTTTATTCGACCAGAGGGAAATGTAGCCTGGCGACGGGTGGCTGTCCGAAGTGGGCCCTCCTGTCACGAACAAACCATGCACGCTTCGTTCGTGTTGCCAGAGGACCGGCAGAACCTTTCGGGGAAATCCTCGATTGTCTGTTGGGCGGCATTTCCAGAACAACCAGACCACAAGCTTCTCTGTGTTCTTGCCAGTGCTACATTGTTGTGTATATACGATGTGTATCCAAAGGGCAAAGCGTACACTCTCGGAGGGGAAGGCCACTCAATACCGTTGCCATTTGAAGCATGTGGGGTTTATGCGATTGATGACGGTCAGGGGTTGCTGCTACAAAGAACTGAGACCCTAGAGGACAATCTAGCATTTGATGCTCAAAATAGAACATGGACTTCTACTGGACTCCAAGGAGAAGATGAAGATGACGGATTTGTGCTCAAAGCACCACCTCGTCCTCTTCGTTTTCGAGAATCGACGGGAACGGAATTTGGCAGTCTCAGCATGCCCAACAATCCTACCACTGCTCCGAGCCTATTTTCACTGTCTCATCCTCTAGATGACATATTACCAGTGTCCAATATTCGTGATGCCGACTCACAAAACTCGCCCTTTGAAGATGTCTTTGAAAAAATTCTGTTTGTGGGAGTGGTTCGATGGGTTGATCCTGCAACCACTGCTGCCGAAAGAAAAGAACACTTGCAGCCAATCTGCGTGACGTATCATACCCATAAGAAAGTGTAAGTTGACGACACGATATAGATTGGTGCAATATGCTCATTCGGAATGATAATCACTCACACATGTGTTCCACAATAGACACGCCATCTGGGAAATAAAGAACTCTCCACCACCTCCACCACAGGCTCCACTATGGGAAGTGAGTAGTCAATGGAGGTCTAGTGAGGGATTGAACAGTCACCTCGGTGTATTGCAGCAAGATTTTGATGACATGGTGCTACTGGAACCGCCACACGATCCGAACGCATCTCGATTCAACCCTGTTGCAAGAAAAGAAGCCCTTGCGGATGCCTTGGGTGTTCGAAAAAGTCCTCACAAAGTAGGGGAACATCCACGAGCGCGAAACCTCCCTTCAAGATCGGCCAATCGACCACGGGCTCAAAAGCCATCGGGAACCAATCTTTCACTACTTTCTCCTTTGTCAAAACCGGCGACGAACGAAACACTCATGGATATTGATACCACTGTGGAAACAGCGACGAGGCCACCATTGCTCAGCATAGGGCCATTTGCAAGTTTGCATCCCAAGATTGCCATGGTACGCATCTATCAAGAGGAGGACATTACAAAAGAAGCTTCCCATATATTTCTGATTTCCAACGAAGAGGGGTCAGGAACACTTACATTGTGCATGGTGAGACCACGAGATGATGATACCTCGAATCCAAATGAAGTTGTACTGTGCCCCTTAATTTCTGCACGCAAAGGCACTCCAGTGCTGAATGGGAACATTGGGCAGTTTCAGGTTGTACCAGTGACGACCATCCCATGCGTATCTGCTGCACCTTTGCAAGCTTCGCCAGTCCCTTGCTGCTTTGTGGGACAGGAAAAGAAACGATTGGGGCATAGCCACAAGGCAGCGACGGACATGCTGCTGTTACATAATGACAGCCAAGGCCAACGAAAGATGACATTGTGTCGGAACAGCATGCCTATCGTGGACTGCGCGGTGCACGAAAACTCTGGTTTTGGCTTTGGGATTGTAGATGATATTCGTGATGCAGTGGGAAACAGAATCGACCTAATTATTGAATCGGGATCCAGTGAGCCGGTCTGTCTTCGAACAAGAATAACATTGGAGGTCGAGTCCAATGCTGTCTGCGAGAAAGTCGTTCAAGCCGTCGAAGCAACACTTTGTTCTCCAAAATTTCGAGAATCGACTTCCAAGGGAATTGAAGTTGCGCTGAAGATTCGAGCTGACTGCGTTCGGATGCAACAGGCACTTTTGCAACCACCAGATGGGAGGTCCGCCGTTGATGGAGATGCAGCATCCAAAGCTGTGGGTTCTGTCCTTTGTGCCTTGCTCGTTCTGGAATTGCTTGGCAAAGATGTAAACAATAAAAGCAGCCAAGCAATGGAGTCGTCGACTCCTGAAATGAGTGCTTGGGAGTTGCTTTTGAATTCCGAGTACCACAAAAATTATTCCTCTGCCGAATGCCCTCAGTTAATCCCGCCAAGCGCTAGTGCAATACCAGGCACACTAGACACGTTTTGGCGATGGGACGATCTTGGAGATCTTCACTCTTTGACCGTAGAGTGCCTCAAGGAGGATGCCACTTCTTTTGCAGCGTCAGTTTTTGATTCGATGCATGCCGTATACGAAGACTTCAAAGTCTATGGCAGCTCAAGGGATGAAGGGATTCGCTTTGTGGGATCAATTTTGTGCCAAGTTTGTTCAGTATGCCCGACAAGCGTCGGAATACCCCGAGACCTCTTCATGGGGCACTATAGGAGAGATCTTGGTGACGAATTGTTCGAAAGAACTGTCGCTGCAGCAAATATCCAACAAGAATCTGTGGTGACACCGAAGGCGAAGCAACTATCGTCGCACCGTTATCCGCCCTGTATCATGTCTTGGGTTGACTCTCGTGTTTCGTGCAAGAATGTTGAATGTGGTTACGAACAAGTACCCCAAGAGTCATCACTCAACGCTGGTTGTACGAGAACTCTATCGGTTGTTCGAATTTTCTCTATGCTCTACGGGGATTGTGACAACAGCAGCGCTGGAAAATGCGAGCGGGATCGTCGAGTTGCTATTGCGCTAATTGAAGAGGGCTTCACTGACAGGGTTTTACTCCGAGATTCGTTGCCAGCTGGAGTCGTTGTACCCCTGCTAGAAGTCCTTTTTCGGTGTAGGGACGAACAAGAGTTGCTTGACATGCCTCTCGATGACCCAGAGATGTGGTCGTTGATTGGGAGGGACGATGTGTACAAGAATTCCCAAGGCGCAAGGCCTGGCTTTTCGGAAGTCTCATCATTCAAAGTTGATTCGTTGAGTGCACTTGATCTTTCTGACCAATCAACGCCAAAATCGAGTAAGCTCGATGACAAAGATAAGGATGGCATCTGTCCGCTCGAAGTGACTTCGTCCATGCTCTTCCCCGAGGATAACAGAATACGGGAAGTCGGTCGTCTTTTGCGATCATCGAGACCAATGTACCTCAATGTTCCTCGAGCAATTGAAGTAACTGACCACGACTACGAAAGGATGAAACAGGAAAAACTTCTACTGCTGAGCCGACGATCCCTTGCGCTCCCATTAGGCCGTGGAATGTTCACTATTGGCAACCTGCAACCTGTACCAGCGGAGCCGCTGCCGCTTCCAGAGATCTCTCTTGTCAGCCGTGTCCCACCCACAAATGCAATGCTTGCCCTAGACACCAGTGAAATGGAAACAGATATGAAGGTGTGGCCAGATTTTCACAATGGCGTTGCCGCTGGTTTGCGTCTTCCGCTTCATATGGATTCAAACGATAGCATATCGAAAATCACCAGAACATGGATTGTGTACAACAGACCAGACGAAGCTGCGGCTCAATCTCCTAATAATGGAAGCAATGCCGCGAACTCAAATCAGCCGAACCCAATACATGCCTACGGGGGACTTTTGATGGCACTCGGTCTGCGTGGTCATTTGACTGCGCTTGAGATGACGGATATCTTTGACTACTTGACACAAGGAACAGTAACAACTACTGTCGGTGTCTTGTTGGGGATGGCTGTAAATATGAGAGGTTCTTGCGACGTTTCTGTCTCGAAGATGCTGTGCCTACACATACCTTCCTTGATACCGCAGCACTTCAGCGCGATCGACGTGGCAAGTCCCGTACAGGCCGCTGCCATTGCGGGGGCTGGTTTGCTATATCAAGGCTCTTCACACCGCATGATGACTGAATTTTTGTTGAACGAGATTGGAAAAAGACCTGCAAATGACCTGAATGTTGTTGATCGTGAAGCTTACACACTGTCATGCGGAATCGCACTTGGGATGGTGAACCTATGCCGAGGGGAAGGGACGTATAATGATGGATCTGGCATCGGCAGTGCTGGTCTAAGTGATCTACGCATTGAAGATAGGCTGTGTCGATATATTGTTGGCGGGCAAGATGATGCTGAAATTCGTCGACAACGTGAGGAATCCGACAGGTTAAGTCTTCCTTCCTCCAGCGCTGCAAACGGAAACGAGAAGTGCTCGTGTATCTTCGAAGGCAATTCAATTAATACGCATGTTACTGCTCCGGGTGCCACGCTTGCACTGGGCCTGATGTACATGATGAGTGGAAATACCACAATTGCAGCGGCGATTGCACTTCCGGACACTCACTTTCTCCTGGAATACGTTCGCCCTGACTTTTTGATGCTACGAGTGATTGCCAGATCATTGATTCTTTGGGACGATGTCAAACCCTCCACAGAATGGATTTTTTCTCAACTGCCAAAAGCTGCTGCAGATGGCTACGAGAAGATGCGGACAATGGCCAAGAACATGTCGGGTGGAGCGCCAGCTCTAGTAGACGAGGACCAATCTTTTGATCGCCAGGCTGTTCGTTTGATCCATGTCCATGTCATTGCTGGCGCTTGTTTTTCTATTGGGCTGCGCTTTGCAGGCACAGGAAATCGAGATGCTGCAGCAGCAATCTTCGAGAGAGTGATGGAGTTGCGAGATCTCAGAGATGGTACCGATTCGGTATCTTGTGCGCTACGTCCGCCGGTTCCAGTTCTTGAAATGTGTTTGGGTTGTGTTGCAATTTCGTTAGCAATGGTGATGGCTGGTTCTGGCGACCTGGAAGTCTTAAGGTGCGTAAAGGCAGCCTTGTGCGTACTGATTTGTTTGCCGAAAAGTCTTTCTAATTCCTTTTTGCTGGTAGATTACTGAAGGTACTGAGATGGCGGTGCGACGAACAAATCAGCTATGGCAGCCATTTGGCTTTCGGAACAGCAATAGGCCTACTTTTCCTTGGTGGTGGAACGTGTACCTTGGGCAGAGAACCAGAAGATATTGCTGCATTGGTTATGGCATTCTATCCACGATTTCCGGCTTCGTCTACAGATAATCAATACCATCTCCAAGCGTTACGAAATCTGTATGCAATCGCGGTAAAGGAACGTTCGTTTCGTGCGATCGATGTGGACACTGGTGAAAGTGTTTTCGTTCCACTTGAGGTATGTATCGTTCTATTGAAACGTCTCAATATACAATAACGAACACTAACCTATTTCACAAAGGTTCATTTTGAGGACGCTAGCAACCCTCCATTGAAAATGACGGCGCCGTGTTTGTTTTTCAATACAGATGCCAAGCCAAAGGAGCTGAGGGTAACGTCAGAACGATATTACCCGTTGACACTGAGCATGAACAATTCAATCCCGAGGAGCACCATTTTTGTAAAACGACGAAGCGCACACTTGAGCTACCTCCAGGATCCTCACTCACAGCGGTCGTTGCTTGTCCAGACCGGTACCTTCCAAGGCAACAAAGCGCTTGATCTAATTGCTTCCTTCACAGACGACCAAAAGGTCCTCGCTTTTGCGAAGCATCTTTGTGATCTTGGCCAACCTGTGGGTTCTGGTTCCAACGGTCCGTTTTCTGTTGCCGGATTTTGTTCTCGGGTCTTGCACGAGTCTTTGTTGCTGGACACCCAAGAGGCTCTTCCGCTGTATCTTGCATTGCGTACAACGATTTCCTCGTTGCAGACTGGGTCCTTTTCTGTTGCAACTCAGGTCTGGGACTTTCGAATTATCAAGTCGTACTACGAACAACGTCGCCAATTGCAGGTTTCAGATTCAAGCCCGCGCCTCCTCAACAGTGAAATTGTCGCGTACTTACTAGAACTTCTCGAAAAGCTCTTGGTCGGAAGTGGGGATACGAAATTGCTTGTTTCAGCAAGCAAAGCATCAAATCGAGATGGATCTGTTCCAATTTTCTTTGAATCACAAGTCAATTCGCTGGCAGTTTCAAGCACGAGTATGGACCTAAGCTAGAGCTCGAACGCTGCCAACGTCGCTAAACATAGATAAAAGCTGATTGGAGTTCGATCAATGGTTCAAAACACTCTAGAAATGGTCTGTGTACTGGTGTATACCTTGAATGTTTATTGATTAGAGCCATGTCAAGGGTTTGTCTGGATTTGGGTTCACTTCTTCCTCCAGTTGTTCCACCATTTGTCTCCATGGAACAGTTCCAACGCCGCGACGGATGACCTTTCCATTACTCGCAACGACGATTGCAATACCCTCTTCTCTTGCATTCTCCCCACTTTGCTTTACGGCATCATCCATCTCGGCTTTCACGTATTCATTCCATCCTTCTCCAGTCGGTCTTGCAATGAATGGTTGAGTTTCGTAACTAGGCCTCTCTCCAAAACCTCCGCTTGGGCGAATGTCGTTGGTTCCCGCAGATGTATCGTATGGAACAACAAGCACGTTACTGAGCGCAAAGTCCATTTTCAGAAGGTTGGCTCCAACCAAAGCATCCTTGCATGCCTTTCTCGGTCCGATTACAAGAATCATGTGTTGCTTTGCTCCCATTTGCATCTCGTTAACAGTAGCTTGGCGTGTGTCTCCCTCCGTTGATACTGTGATTTCCAGTGGAAGTGTTTTCAGAATACTCGTTCGCTCATTCATCTGTTTAATAATCTTCTTCTCTTCCTTTTTCCTCTGTACCTTTTCTTCAACTTTTGTTTGGAGTTCATTCTGTTTGTCAATGTCATATTTTGCCAAGAATCCGAAGACAGCAACTGCTGCAAAGTCGATACCAACATTCATAAGCTAAAGATAAGCATGTGAGATATACATGTACAGCCCATATTTTTGAACCGATCTACTGTTATATTCGCTAGAACATCTCACCTCTTTGTTCAGATTAAAGTCAGGACTGGCGGACGCAGCGACTGCTCCACTGATGTTGATGAGACCCCCGACAAAGGCTCCCGAACCAAGAGATCCATACAAGAAGAGGCGCAGTGTTCTCCAAGGAGCGATCGATTCACTGAGAAGTTTATTCCTGACGCCCTCGTCTAGACCACCCTTTTTCGGTTTCTTGGTTTCAAACAAGACTACTGACGACGGTTCATTGTCGGTCGTCGTCAATGAGGTCTTGATGGTATTAATGTTGGGGGCAAATGCACCGGCTGAAGCCAAGGTTGCAAGTGCCAACAAAAGGCGAAGTTGGGAAGAGACAGCCATTTCCGTACTGTTCCTGGATTGTTGGCTGAGTAATATAATGACAGGAACAAACAATAATGTCAATAACTGACATCCGACAACAACTCATCATTATTGAAGTAAGATCGACTCAGCATACCCGACTCATTCGAATTGCTCCGATGACGTCATACGATTATCATAGGCCTATATAAGTCCAGAAAAAGGCAACGAATTTTCAAAAGAAAGGTGTGTGTTGAGAACGCACCGCAGGTTTCATCAAACCCACACAATAATAAGCATCAAGCATCACCATTGCCTAAACTGCAAACTTTGAAAATCTTTGTAGAGAAGTATAAGAAACGGGTTTTATCATGGCGAGTTCAGGTGGCGAAACCGAGATGAATGATTCATCAAAAGAAGAGAAAACCATCACGAGAAAGTTTTGGCTTTTCTTTCTCTTCTTGCTAGTCGATTTGGGATCTTCTATCATTCTCATGACTCCACTCATCCCGAGAATTTACAGACTCGAGGGAACTTCCAACGTATTCAAGCTTCCTGAATCCATAATCGACCTCGGTATTCTCAGCGCTGCGAGATTCGCCTTTGCAATGATTGCATTCTTGTATTCCTTTTCTGCTGCAGAAGTACGACCGGAGTACCCGTTTGATTTGTACAAACCGAATGGGGACAAGAAGTCAAGCTCAGAATTGGAACAGGAATCGCTGGAGCAGAGCTTCCTTTCGTGGTGCAGAAACTATGTCTTCCGAGCTTCCTTTCCTTGCGAATTCGTCTCGTTGATCACTGGAGTGCTTTGCATTGTCAAGTGTTTGGTTCGACTCAATCTGGAAGTTGGGACCCTTGTGGACGCGGAGAATCTTCATCCTCTGATGTGGTCGGCGATTACTGCCGCTGCTGTGTTTTCCGCTACTGAAGCGAGCTTTTTGGATTCTATCTGTTGCTCTTTGGCTAAGCTCGGAGAGATTCGCCGAAAGAGGGGAGACTCCTCCTTGCTAGAAAGAGCGGCATCGTCGCTAAGCGAACCACTTTTGAGTGGGGCAGATGAAGAAGTTCCGGAATCGTTAGAAACTTCCAGTCAACAAGATGATGAGAATGAGCGTGGCGTGAGCGACATCGCTGCCGATGCAAACTACAAGGCCCAATGGTCTGATTTGGTGTCACTTTGCAAGCCCGACTTGCACCTAATACTTGCTGCATTTGTGTTCCTTCTGCTTGCAGCCGGAGCGCAGATTTACATCCCTAAATGTACAGGATTGATTCTAGACGGGCTATCGCATGAATTTTCTGGTGATACCACTGATGCGGACCGTCACAAGAAGATGTCTGACGTACCGGGATTCACAGAAAATGTAAAACTGTTGATCATCTTTTCGATATTGGGTGGTGTTTTCTCTGGTTTGCGAGGATCCATCTTTACAGTTGTGGGTGGTCGAGCGAATGTACGCCTGCGAACCAAGCTCATGGACTCTCTGCTTGTTCAGGACATTGGATTCTTTGATACCACCAAAACTGGAGACATTACAAGTCGTCTATCAAGTGATACTACCCTCGTTGGTGACCAGGTTACTTTGAATGTCAACGTCTTTCTTCGTTCCCTTGTTCAGGCAATCGGGGTGTTGATATTTATGTTCAGGTTGTCGTGGCAACTTTCCATTTTGGCTTTTATCTCTGTGCCTGCTATCACCATCTTGTCAAAGTGGTACGGTATGTTCATTCGAAGTCTTACGAAAGTGATGCAAACCAAGGTACGATTGAAATTTCTGTTGCTAGTCTTTGGTATCGAAGCGTTGGCATCGTTGGTCTAATTTTGTTGTTCTTAGCTGGCAGACGGAAATTCCTTGTCAGAAGCGGCTATTAGTTCCATGCCCACCGTTCGCGCTTTTGATGCTGCCACAACTGAATTCAAAGAGTTCGAAGAATGTATGCAACACTACCTTGATTTGAATATGAAATCGGCAATTGCGTACAGTGGGTATGCAACTGTCTCCACCTCTCTTCCTCAGTTGGTGACTGCGTAAGTATTGCAACTGGAACCTAAATTTCTGTGATCAAAAACAGATTGACTTACCCATCTTCTCGTCAGCCTCGTTGTCTTTTATGGAGGGCTACTGGTGCGAAATGGCGACTTGACGAGTGGTGAACTCGTTAGTTTCCTTCTGTACTTGCAATCTCTATCTGACGCGTTTGCAAGTATTGGATACATCTTTTCGAGTCTCACACAAGCTGTTGGAGCTGCCGACAAAGTCTTTGAACTCATGAACCGTAAACCTCAGCTCAAATCTGAGTACCATAAGCCCTGTATGCACAGCGCCGTGACATTGGTTTCAAAGACTCGAAAAACTGGACTCGATCCTGAGACATGTCAAGGAGACATTGTTCTCGACAACGTTGAAATGTACTACCCAGCCCGACCGAAGAGAAGGATCTTGAATGGACTTTCCCTTCGAGTACAGCCAGGGAAGATAGCTGCCTTGGTTGGCCAAAGTGGCGGAGGAAAAAGTAGTGTGATCTCATTGGTCCAGCACCTGTACGAACAATCGAAGGGCAAGGTCATGATCGACGGGAAAGAAGTGCACGAGCTCAGTCCGAGGTAAGCTCACAATATTCGTCTTTGGTTTTGTTTGGCGACATGGTACTTCAAACTCAAATTGCTCTTCAAAGATGGTTGAGCCGAAACATTTCGATAGTGTCACAAGAACCGACTCTATTTGGTCGATCAATCAAGAGAAATATCATCTATGGCCTAGAGGGTACTCACTTGGAACCGTCGGATGAGGAAATCGTGAGGGTTGCAAAGCTTGCCAATGCTCATGATTTCATTGAGGTATGATCTTCAAAAATATTCTTTAAAAAATACTACTTGCAGGGGCTCATCATAATATTTTACTTTGAATGACAGAAAATGCCGCAAAAGTACGATACAGAAGTGGGTGAAAGAGGTGTTCAGTTGTCGGGAGGGCAGAAGCAAAGAATAGCCATAGCCCGAGCATTGATTCGGAAACCAAAGGTATGTTTTGAAGGATTGAACCTTGTATCATCTCTCCTACTTTTACTGACTCCAAATGATTGCTTGTCTACATCAGGTTCTACTACTGGACGAAGCGACATCGGGTAAGTTCATTTGTTCTATTTTCTAAATAGTCCTGGGAATCACCGCAACTCTAACCGGTATGATTGTATGCTTGTCCCCGAAGCCCTTGATGCCGAGTCGGAACACATGGTTCAAGAAGCTATTGATCACATGCTAGAGTCTGGGCGCTCAGGGAATGATTCTTCAGGGATGACGGTGTTGATTGTGGCACATCGACTTTCGACTGTCCGCAATGCTGACATCATCTTTGTTGTCAAGGATGGTCAAGTAGTTGAAGAGGGGAACCATACAGAACTTATTGAGAAGCCTGATAGTGCATATGCGGCTCTCGTTCAGCGCCAAATGATGGTGCAGAAAAAGCTGGAAGAGAAGTAGCCATCTTGAGATTCACGTGCCGGTGTTGTCATTGTTGATGGGCGAAAACAATGAACAGTAGCGTAATACTTTTTGTCAACCTATTTCATCCATGGACTTCATCATAATTCTAACAAATAACAGCTATATCGCGTATCAGAGATGGTAGCAAGACGGAAGGGTACGGCTTGCTGACCATGCGTCCCTTTTTGGCAATATCAAGTTTCCATTCATTAGCGACCGTCGCTTCAATGTTCTTCCGTATTTCGTCGGCATCTTGTCGGGAAAGAGGCATACTCGCTCCACTGTAGTTTAGCAGAAAGACTGCAAGTGGAGGGTCTCCAGCCTTTAGCTTATTATCAGATGTCAACAGTTCTCTTGCTGCGATTTGAAAGTCAATTCCATCCGGGATGAATGGCTGGACAAGTTTTTCGACAGCGTCACCAACGACAATTTCCTCATAGGATACAGGGCATTGTTCGAGTTTGTCATCCAGACTGATTCGTAGCTCATGGCGACAGCTAATTTGCAATTCTTCGTCAATAACATCTCCATCGGGTAGGGAGAAGGTGTACTGCTGAGGCGAGTCACCCAACCAAAACGGTCGATCAACTCCACGATGAGACGAAAGCTCGTAGTCTGGTGCATACGGCTCAAGTTTCTTCAACAGCAGACCATGAGATCCTGCATACATTGCAGCCATCCAGCTTCGTTTCCATTCTTCAATACTGGCAGCGGGCATTCCTCCTTGTGCATCACACAGGGCGACCCGAATTTCTCCATCTGGCTTGACGACATGGGACGCACTTTGCAAGAAATCAGACAGCAGTTGACGGTTATGTCGGTGATTCGTTTTTCCTCTCCAATGTGGAAAGTTGAACTCGATAAAGTCAAACCTTGTTGTGGGAAAGAATTCTTCGAGTTTTGTCGCGTCAATGCCAAAGCGAAGCTCGTGCCCCTCGTGCTTGCATATGGATTCCGAGTTCTCCAAAGAACGCTTGTAGACTGTTTGATGAATATTTTCTTCTTCCAACACTGTTGCTACCATATTGATATTGGACTTTGCGAGTTTTTCGGCAATCCCTGCAGAATATGACAAATCCCCATCTCCGCAAACTAATAGTGTCGTCGACCCGTGGTCAAGGTTTGATGATTTCTTTTGTGTGTTTTCTGTGGGGACGTCAAAATGACTCTTCAGAGCAGTCGAACTGAATAACCGCCTTTGTGTTGATACTAGAGCTCGACCTGGAGAGATGCTACAGGCAAAAATGCCTGCAAATGTATGGAAACGGGGTACAAGCATCTCTCAATCTGGACACAATGATGTTTTGACATGTTGTGGTCGTCGTGGAAAATTCATTCCAGTCTGTCCGGCCATCAGATATCTGATGGCTGCGGGCAGAAGGCCAGGCACATGCATGACGTGTGACGTGTGAGAAACGCAAAAAATGAAAATAAGATGGCCAGTTGTATTTTATTAGAGCCGAGGCACACTAACCAACGCATTCTTGTTGTTATTGTCCGGACGCGCCTCCTCGCTCATCAACTCTATCATATTGGCAAACAAGAAAGATGAAAATGAGCTTGTTACTAACATCCCTTTGTTTGGTACGGTCGTCTTCACTGGTGGTTCGGTCCAACATTGCACGAGGGTCATCAACATCATCATCAACTACAAGACTATTCTCCATTTCAACATCGGATGTCAACCTGGGTGTTTCTCGATTGGAAACACTTCAAACATTATTATCGAAACACGGAGCTCCAGGAAGTAAAGGCTGCAACACTGCAGATGATTTGGAACCAATCACCCTGGATATCGCGACAGAAGCCCCAGACGAGACTCCCGAGTTGGTATCTTCACTCATGGGTATCGACGAACTCAAGGATCTTCACCCACATCTCTATCCATTGGCGAGATCAAAGACTAGTGGAAATTTAATATGCGCCCTTCGGCGTGCTTATGCCGATGACGCTAATGAATGGTATGCCAGCTCATCCAATGCTCCATGGCCCATCGTTGAAGCAAAGGTTGGAGGACCAGGCATGAAGCTGTTAGCATTGAATAGCGAGCATTTGATGAGAAGAATCGTTTGCGAATGTGACTTTGAAGGAGACAACGAAAATATTGTGGAGTTGTACAATAAGGGTCTTGGACAAAGTGCGATTGCTGACAAGACTCTTGATACTCCCTACGAAGCTGGTTCGGTTGAAAAGCTTGGGTAAGCGGACGATTGAATGAATGCTGTCGCCTTGTATTATTGTGATTGAAGCCCCTCATTTCTACATTTGCATTCATTCATCTGCTATGGTAAAACAGATATGGAGTTGACAAGTATGTTTTGCTTCGGGTTGGACCTTTCCCAGACATTTACGAAACCCTAGCACTTGGACATGCTGAACGTGGAGACGAATCATCTTCTTTGATTTCCGCCGAAGCTTCAAACAGCAAGATCTCTGGGTTCGGTTCTGGGTTCTTGTTTTACGCTAGGCTCTTGTCTTCTTTCCCCAATCGCGAAGAAGAGACGCGGGATGCCGCTCGTATGTGCTTGAGATTGCCATTGCCTTCCATTGGCATGACCATTGATGACTTTAGGGAAGCTGCAATCCTTGGCCAAATTGCTGAAGAATCTGATTCCAATGAAGAGGTCTTGGCAAAGATGCAGCGAATGTACGAAAAGATCCTAGAATCGGAACGGGACGACCCTACTGGTCAACAAGGGAAAACACCAGAACAAGTTGCCTTCGATGAGGCTAACTACATTCTTGATAATGTAGCTCTCACAGGGGCCAAGTGGTCTGATGCTCGGCCCAAGCTTGCTGAGATATACAGCTCTGTAGGCCGGGACGATATGGCAGCATTTGTCAACCCAAACTAATATAATAGATTTTTGTCACATAAAAGAGCTAAGCATTTTGAAATTGTGCGCCATGTATGGAGCTATGTTAGTGTTTTGTAGCCGTTACGAGTTTTTTAACGGCTCGGGCAGAGGCGAAGATCGTCGAAGAGAACGATGGGTGAAAAGTCTGGAAGATTTCAATGCATGTCACTGAAGCATCATTACTTTCTCATCACTGATCCATACTACAATGTTACCTCGAATCCTACCAGCAACACGCAGAATTGCATCAAGCAGCAACTTTACAGCAAGATGTGTTTCAGCCAGCGCACACTTGTTAGAGAAACATACCATGAAAGTCCCAACGATGGGCGACTCAATTACTGAGGGAACAATTGTTGAATGGACCGCTCAGGTTGGCCAAATGGTGAAAGAAGGCGATGTCGTGGCGCTAATAGAAACAGACAAGGTTACTGTTGATATCAAGGCCGAAATTGACGGTGTATTGACGCAGTGTTTTGGGGAACTGTAAGTTTTGAAAATTGAAGCGCCTTTGGTGTTGAGGACCAGGTGACTAAAAATTGTTATTTCGGCAGCGAGGAGACGGTAGAAGTTGGAGCTAATTTGTACGAGTTGGATACAGAAGCAGAGGCTACCGCTGTTGCTTCAGAGGGTTCTGCTGAACCAGCTGCAGCTGAACCAGCACCTGCACCACCCGCTAAGGCCGCTCCAGCTAGTGATGCACCAGTGGCAGCAAAGAAGGCTCCCAGTAGTACTAGAGTGCCATCCATTCAATTTCTTGGAAAGGACGGCTGGGCACAAAAACTGAGTGGTGCGGATGCCGCAGTCGTGTATTTACCCAAAAACTATGGACGACCAGTATTCTCCGAGGCTGAAATGGAAGCGCTAGCAACGGGTGGTGCAAATATTGCCCCACAAGTCAAGGACTACTCGCATGGTGCACTTTTTGGGTAAAGTAGTCGAAGCGACGAGGCTGTGGCTGCGATCAAAAACCGTGATGTTGGTCCAAGTGCAACCAGAAAGGTGAAAAAACTGACTTTAATTGCCGTCCTTCTATCCTAGAAATTATAGAACAACAATTAGGCGTATCAAGGGTATAATATCTTTTTTTGTTAACTCTATGGGCTGGCTACTACGGCACACAGTACTTGTACCCAATAAAGCTTGTTTCTTGGCGATCACGGGGAATCTAGAGGGAGGAAGAAAACAAGTTCACAACCTC